CACGCAAAATCTTCATCGTTCTACACTTCGATGTATCAAAAGCATTTGATAAGGTATCTCGTAAGATACTCTCCAATAAAGTACGGTCGATTGGAATTTGCAACCCCTTGGTTAGTTGGATAAAATCATCTCTTCATGGCCGTACCAAAATCGTGAAAGTAAATTCCATGCAGCCTGATCCTAAACACACAGCCAGCGGAGTTATACAGGGTAGTGTTTTCGGGCCTTTGTTGTTTATAATTTATATTAACTATGTGTGTAGCTGCTTCAGTGTAGGTAAACATACCTATACTCCTGTGACTTGAAGGTTGTGTCCGTTTGCCACCCTCATGAACTGTCTAATACTCTGGATACTGCCCAACAGGAACTAAATAAACTTGCATCATTGTGTTCTGGGTCCCACCCTGACTTCACTAATGACAAATGTGGTTACGTTAGCATAGTCAACGACAACCATAACCTGGCCCCACAGGTATGTGGAAAACGGCCTCCCAGATGCTAGATCTTGGCATTAGACATTCCAGAGACTTGTCATTCTCGGACAAACAGCTTATATTGGATCCAGGTCATGTAAACTCTTGGGATGCATCATTCGTAACTTCTGCGGCACTGATTTGATGGCTCTACTTTACCATGTGTGCGTTCGCCCACTCTTAGAATATTGCCCTTTTATTCTCACTGGCCTTCGCAGAAGCAATAAACTGAAAGTCGGAGGGATGCAACATTACTTCACCTTCAGAACATTAGGAGCTGACTGCAGTCCAGACTACACAGCCAGATGTAACGTGCTTAGGTTAAAACCATTCTGGAAGAGGGGACTTAAGCTGAACCCCATGTTTTATTATAAGTTGCTGCATCAACACTTGAACCATACCGGTCCGCCCACATACAGTATGCGTAAACATAACGTATTGGTTGAAACCGAGTGTTGTACGGCGAGCCTGCGAGATGGTCTCTTTCTCAGTAAATCCAGCCACATTCGGAATTGGCTTCCAGGAGAAACATATACGGCAGTTTCTTTAACACCTTTCTGCCTTTCGCTTAATAGGCCAGAGGCAGACGATGGGTCTATCGCTCACTTAGCTGCCATCTACGAGTCCTGGGGTAGTCTTCGAGCTCCTGCTTCACAGATGGGCTTGCGATCGCATACAAGAGTGTGAGTACTGGTTCTTTTTCGCATAATGAACCTAATGAGTACTGTTTTCCCCTCAAAGCCACTACGATACACCCCAAGTATAGAAAATTTTAAGAACCTCATAGCGGAGAAACTATGTAGCTGACTCCACATATGTACATGAAAATGTACATAAGGTTCGAGTAAGCCTAAAGGAATGGCGACCTCCCTCTTCTCCAAACTGGATAGCGCGGTAGTTCCTTTTCCTTATCTCTTCGTGCATCCTCTTTCTTTTCCCGCTTGCAGCAGAAATTCGATGAGAATTTCTGATGCTGAATTTCAATTTGAACATGACTACTTAGTAGAAGTAATACCTTCTGTTTGATGCCGATAATTATTTGACTGCCTCAATCTTTTGCGGCCTCTGGACCATCCTCACGATCAGCTCATCTACTGGTCATGATTCTCCTCACGATGCGCCGTCTGAGCTTTCACAGCAGCTATGGTAGCATGAATATTCTGAACAAATGAATAAGCCAGCGACCAATTTACACACCGGCTTGGAACGCAACTTACTTGCAGTAGCTCCACACAACATGTTTTCTAGCACTCCTCATCAAGTGATCTTTTCACACGAAAGATACTACGCGCCGAATACACTTCTCGAATGATGCTGCCTACTTTAATACAAAAGATACCCGAAGTCTACGGGCAACTACTACCATCTGGACTATAGAATTTTTCAACGTCTATTTCCATCCACTTCTACAAGTGCTCCCAGTGGAACTAATCTACGTTACCTTTAAACGTGACATAAAGACCTGGAGATGAAGTGATTTAGACACTCACCTTGGTTACGTAACTGTGGATGCATTGCCGATACTCCAGATCATATACATGGGTCCCTTGTGGTTAGCGGAGCTGAAAGCTGACGAACTTTCTAGTGAATGGACAGTTATATTACAAATGCAAACGTACCACCAACGTCGACTGGTTATAACGCAAACTTTGAACATCGCTTTTCCTCCTTATGGTGTAAACCTTCTGAATAATAAATAAATGAATATTTTATTCTCATGCAGGAAATGCAGCATGAAATAAGCCTATTTACAGGCATCACCACGTCGACACATGTTGAAAAATCTACAAGATTTTAAGGGTTTTGAGTGGTACTATGGGTATGTCAGTAAGCCCTATTAAAAACACCAGAAGTTTTTGCTAGTTATGAAATGAATAATAAAATATCACTTATCGGCCTGTGCATTGTTAAAGTTTAGGTCGTTTTCGGTCATATTTTTTCACCATGGGTACCATGGGTCGTACCAAGGTCGCGCAAAATTCCGAATTCCCGTTCCAAGCAGTCGACAAGTTCGACTCGTCTTCGTAATGCCACGTCACTCTACATAAACGTCCATTTTACCATAAATTCTCATGCTTATAGCTTCGGAGACCAAATGAACCCACATTGCGAGTCCGGGGAATCTGCGAGTCATTACATGATCATGTAATCCAAGTGAATATCCATGTCCAAGCACTTCCCTATATTTATGTGTTACCGTTCGCAGCAATACAGATTTGTGCTGTGCCAGCTCTCTGGCTGGCGGATTTTCTCTCTGCCACAAGCAGATTAGGTTTTTTGGGCTCGCCCCAAGGTTCTGCGCAAGGTTCGCCTGGGACGACCTGCCATACCCCTTCACTTTGGTGCTACATCGTTTGCTTGGAGCTATACATATGCTATGATCTGACCACTTTCTGGAGATCCTCCGGTTATGCCATGGTTTCCTCCCTCCTCTCAAGAAGCGTTCAGTGCTCCGTTTTGGCTATGAGTTTCGCTTGTTTGGTATCTTCGTGGCTACCGAGACACATTCAGAGGTAGCCTCCTCATTGATACCCTTTACTAAGTCCATGTGTTTGTCGTCCACAAGGTACTCTACTCCTAGATCCATAGTGCAGTCGGCAAGTGTTGGCTTGCTGCAGCAAAGATAAGGGCGAGGCCCTTCTATGATATTTGTTCACTGAGTGCTGGATCCGACACTAACATACCACGACCGCTGCTACCGAGCTTTTTATGCTGGCAGATGGTTGCTGGTGAAAAGATAGCTCATTTTTGGCGGTTGTTTCGCTTGGGATTTTCGTCGGAAAATATTCTTTTGCAGTCCAACCCATCTCGTGGCGTTCGGTAGGTTTCGGTCGAACCTATGGCTTGAGGCTGACCCATTGTCCCAAGAATGAAAGTTGGGGCATTAAAATGCCCGCTTTAACGACGTGGCCATAACCCGAAGACATCGCTCTGAACATCACTTAGAGTACTTGTTGGTCATGTTCCATGCTGAGGGTAGGCCCTTTAGGCCCCCCTACCAGTCACCAAGCGTGTCCAACCATAAAGTGCCACCAGAAGGAGACTAGGAGCCCTAGGAGTAAAGCTTCAGTAGGCCGTTCGCCTTTGAGATGGTAGCTGATAACCTAACCCGCTACTGTCTAGTTTCATGACTCAGAAGAGCGGCTGAAGCCTCCCACGAGTCCAAGATGTATGATCGAATGAGACAAATGGGGCTGCAGATGCGGTAACCTGAGCAGCAGCAGCTGGCCATGGCAGTTAGGCTTACCACTTAACCAATTGGCCAATTGGCGGTCGTAAGCTCTGTAAAATTTTGTTCTTTCGAAACTGTTGCTTCCGTAGGGAAAAGATCCGACTGGAAAGGTGTATATCTGATTATTTTCGAGAAGAATAAATACGAGGGACGACTCGCCATTACTCAAGAAGCACTTGCAGCTGGTTCCACAAGAAATGTTCGCACACGATCTGTCCCAATTGACTTCCTCAGCTGTGTAATGTTGTCAGAGAACTGATAAGCGGAATCTCTATGTTGTTGACACCTTATTTCTCGGCGTGCACACATCACTGAGGATGTGAAGAAGAAGTTACCGAAAAGGATATTCTTTGTTCACTCAAATGGCTAGGAGGACTATTTCGGCATTTTCAAAGTTTCTGTCCTCACACTTCAAATGTTTTAGACTTTATTGAATTCCATTGCGCTCCGATTCGGTTGAATAATCTCAGAGAAAATTTTCAGGAGATCTCAGTATATCAAGCAAATTTAGCTTACCTATGTGTTCAACGTGAGTAATCAGCAGTCGCAAGTGGTAGGGAAAACATCATTTAAAGATAAACTAGGTGTTGATTTCGCATGAAATTCCACATGTAACTGACATTGCATTGCATTCTCAACAGAGTGAAATACACTGCTGTTTTCCTCGTTATTTTTTCTCTGTAAATGATCGTGAACATCTTCAAAATGAAGTCCTTTTTCCACGCTGCCACGGTCACCTTAGATTTGTGTAGGAATGTTAACTACAAGCTGCTGGGAATTTCATTTTCATTACTTACTAAAGTAAATCTCTATTAATTTGCATTTTGGGTGGTCCAAATGGGTGGTAACGGGACAGTAGAAGCATTTGCCTAACTAGTTTTAGTGTCCGAAGGGGGGGGGGAGGGAGAGCAATGGATAGCAGTTAATATAGTAGGATGAAGTTCGTTTTTAGTGAGCTTCCATCCATATCGTGAGCAAGTGCCAATTCGGCTTTCGGACGCCACTTGTATGATAAGGGTGTTTCAAGATTTACTGACTCCCAAGGGGTAGGGGTTGCCCCTGATATCTGACCCATTGTGTCGCAAGCCTAGTTTCTGTGTATCCTCTAAGGCTGGTGCTGCAAGGAAGGTTAAACAAGTGACGGAGTAGGTGTCTAGGAGATTTTTTGAATATATGAAATGTGTAATCTGGCGTTAAGCGTTAATTAAGTTCTTAAGTGAAATAAGTGCATTTTAACATACGATGTAGCCATTTAATGTAGCACTGAAGTGACTGATTATTTCACTAAGGTGGAACCATTATTGAGCATTGAAGAGGTTTGTTCTAATACACGAACTAGTCACCCGTGATTTCAACAACTTTTTCGTTGTCGTTCTATGTCGTCCTCCGATTCAAGGCGTGGAGTGCGTAAACGTACACACGATAGAGCTTTTAGCAGTCATTCGACTTCTTTGGATTCCTTACCTTCCTCATATAATAGTCAGAAACCCGCTTCAAGTGTACATTTCAAGTCAAAATCCATGTCCACAAGTTTGAAAAGGTTTGTTATGTGCCTACTGAAGTCACTTGACTTTAAGAATCCAAAAAGAACTAACGGATATAATGACAGACCCACCACCTAACTGCAGGTAAGTTGCTTATATTTTTCATTTTGTCAGTGCGTTTCCCCGAGGAGATAATTTGTATGAATGGGTTTCAACTTTGTTGGGCCCTCAAGGGTCAGTGTATGAAGGTGGAATATTTTTCCTAGATATCCATTTTTCCACCGAATATCCTTTCAAACCCCCTAAAGTACGGACGAAATATGTTACTAATAACTGTCTAGGTTATATTTAAAACGCGTATCTATCACTGCAATATTAATAGCCAAGGTATAATATGTTTGGATATACTTAAGGTAAGTTCTGTTTAAGATGTTAGTTTCGTGATTTTAAGGTCCCAAAAGAATCGATAGATTGCTTTCATAATTCACTGTTGGATTTTGGTTTACATTTGATGCCTTCTATTACTCTTGAATTTTTCGTAGTTTGCTTCGTAAAAATTTGAGGTGTTTAACACCCTTTTTAAATTATTTTCACGTGTACATGACCAGAATACTCGCTGACGATGGTTTCTTGGTCATTTATATTGGCATGAGTCATACACTGATTTCGGTTATCTGACCTTAGCACTTTCAGTCACTACTATATCAGACTCAAGCCCTACACTACTTACATTCTGTTGCAGCTAGCATGTAGTAAAACCAACACGTGAATAGTGTAGGCTTGATAATGAAGAAAGCAAGTCCATCAATGAGTCAGTATCAGCACGGGACATTGCATAACTATGTAACGGTTCGGGAGTTACTACATTTCAGCACATCAGACAATATATGAAGATGGAAGGTAAAGAAGTACAGAAAGCAGTATAAAGTGGTAGAAAGGCGTCAACGGAGGGTAAGGAGTGGTGAAATTCAGTATGATAATTAGGATGAAGATGATGTATGGATACATTCGCACGATTGTTGTCAAACGATCAACGGCTGATTTCTATTGTCTCGGACCCCAAGACTCGACTCAGTCTTCATGGAGCGATGAACACCTCTAACCTTTTCCCAGTACACCAGCTAAAAACTTATAACAGGCAGATGTAGTTCTGAACTTATTGCAATGGATATAAATGGCATGTGTATTACGCATTCTGAGCTGGCGTCTACCCCAGCGCAGATTATCATAGGAATATGTCTCAGCGAAGCTAAGGATCATGAAGTTAAGGCAGCACTGACGTGAAATCTTGAAATAGTGGCCTGAACCTTACAGTGAGTTGCAGGTCTAACTTTCGGCCTCAGGACAGTCGAAATCGATGGCTGGGCACAGTGATACAGGCGTATCAGCTTACGATATTTAAGGTGCTAAACGTTTCCTGCGAGCTAATTTATTTCTTCTCGCCTCATTTCTTAATTTTTAAGATTCATTATCGACTTTTTGTGGTGCCCCACTTTGTAATATGAACTGTGGTAACATGGATTGATAAACTCTTGTGGAGTGTTCTCTGTTAATAAATGAATTACTCCGGCAGTAGTAACATATGTGACTGCTAGTTATATGCTGTAGTTAGTCCGTGACCGGTGATCAGTTTGGGCTCATTCGGCTCTCATCCAGTGGGTTACGAGTTCAAACCATGTTCCACTTGAAAAGTCCAGTGAAGTAACAGGTTGTTTATTTGAGTACCACAATCATTGTTAAAATATTAAGCCTTGCAATAAAGGGAAACATCCCCTTCGGTGTAGCAGTGTGTTCTTGCCCTTTGTATTTGTATTAAATATTTCATCTTCAAAAATCTCTACCCAGTTATCACTTATAGTGTTTTCCGAAGTTGCTATGTATACTGATATACAGTCATACATAAAAATACGGTCATGCAAATACAGAGGTCAGGACGACCAGGTAGTATCGTCAGCCGTCACAGTAGGTGTGACCCACTGCTTGCTGCACGAGTATGCACATGGTTGTGGAGTCGGGTACTGTCAGTAATGTAATCAAACCACCAATCACATTAAAGTTTCCTTTCTGATCATCAGATTATAAGTCGTGGAGTGCGCATCACTTTGACACTGGCATGTACACGAAGTCTCCAGCCCAGACAGTTTAGTCGCACTATACATATTCAATGCTGGTTACTCCGATGGTGTCATAAGTCCTTGCGCAGTTGCTTTTTCTGAATTTGATTCAGTTTATATTAACTACTCCTCATGTTGTGCTTACTAGGATCCTAGGTCTTGAGTAGTGAACATGTTGAAAGTTAAGTGAGTGTTTATCAATCTACATTACTTGTAAATATTGTAAGGTCGAGTTCAGTTTTAGTACTACTATATGTTCGTGTGGGAGAATGCGAGGAAGATTCAGGTTTTTGATTGTCAAACTCATCACATCTGATATGCAGTGAACCCAGTCAGTAGCGATTACAAAACTAAGGAGTGAATAAAAGGCAAACTTGACAAAACGGCACTAGATTTTACTTAAATGTTGCAGATTTTCAAACTATCTGAACTAATAATCTTGGCTAGCTTAGGCAGAGGAAGTGAGGAAAACCTTGCGAGTTATCTAGTTTTCAAACTTTCATCAGTCGTACAATGTCTGGGGTCGGGTCCTCATGGTAGCAGGGATCATTATCAAGGGAAGTCAGTTCGTCGCTGTTGTACTCTCTTCACTCTCATCTTTTACCCTCTTCTCTGTTTATTTTTGGAGTATCTATTCAACCCATTACCGTCTGGTTTCATTTTGGTGTACTTTGTAGAGTATAGTAAATGCCAAAGTTACGTAATTACACCTTGTTGATGGAGCATAGAGATAACGAACTAGCGGAAAACACTGGAAAATTCCTAGTCAGGTGGTAGATGCATTATCAGCATGCGTCCTAGCGTAGTTGTGTAGGGATTGTAGTTACCAGACTTCACAGTAGCCTATGAAGCTGAAATTTAATAAGCGGAGAAACAAACAAATAGAAATGATGTGGACAATTCAGAAGAACCACAGAGAAAAACTGCTGAGTGGAATAATGATATGCGTTATGAAGTTTGAATGGATCTGAACAACTGCGATGACTTTTGAGAGATGCCACCTAATTTTCAGCTGTGTTTCGACTCAATCAACTGCAACCACAAAGCCTATACGTTACGACTCAAACGTTACTCGTTAGTGCTATCCTAGTCTGACTATACTGTCTTTCATTCTAATCCTACTTGGCATTCGGGTAATGGTGATTTGACGCTGGAACGTATTACATGACCATTTCATCCGAATTAGGCCTATAACCTCATATGCTAATTTCCCTGACTTACGAGTTCCTACTGTTTATAAACCTTCCACATTGTTAACTTCTAGTTTTCATTCACGTATCTGTTAATAATCGCATATCATCCTTAATTTTTCATAGCTCTGAAAGCCTTGGAAATGATACGAGTTTCCGCAGTAGCAATTCTAATCCCCCCAAAACTGCTTTCAAAGCTACTTATCGAAGCTACCTGGTCAGAATTAACTGACAAAAAAGCATGGATTCAGGTTTCATGTTTATTGACACGCGTCAGTAAGGCATATCTGCAACATCAAGGGAATTAATTTTTCGTCTGAGATTCGAATCCACATCAACCAGTGCTGCAGTCAGACGCTACCACTGAGTTATTCGGGCTGTCATTGACCTCCCACAGGACTGAATTAGTCAAATTAATTAGTTACAAGAGAGTAACCAGTTTAATGTTTGGTCATGTGTGCTGATCGAATCTTTTGATTATTTTATACTGTCATGAAGTTTGTAGACTTAGTATTGCGTTTTATTTCGATTGGTCGATTGATCGATATTTTCCGGTCAACACTGAGGACTAGAAAATGTGAAATTACTTACTCTCCTACAACCTATCGATGCTCATAGCAGAGTTTTGCACTCTTCGTGAGCCATTGTATTCCTTTTGTATTGTTTTTGTTGAATTTGTTGACAAGATCATTGAGCTGCATTAGTTAGTTTCTAATGGGACCCATTTGAAAGTGGTGTAGACACCTGCTTTTTAAGACTTTTCCTATTAATTCTGAGGTACCTTTCTTATATGCCAATACTATTTTCTTTTTGTGGTCGCTTTATTTACTCCTTAATATCTTATGTTTTTTCTTTCTGATGTGTATGAAGTTCACTGGATGGATAGTAGTTTACTAACTAACATTTACAATAAAATATTTCTGGGTGTCGGTCTTCTGGATGTGTTGTTAGACTTTATACACTATTCGTACGATTATATTCATCTTCATTTCGCCGAGTTGAAATGCACTGAAGGGAAATCCAGAAATCTTCCGAATATCCCCAACCAAGGTTAATCAGATCAGTTTTCAACCACATGGGACATTCTGTTGGGTCAACAAACTAATAAAATGAAAGCATTACATTTACAAAATCTACTCATGTATATGTGACTGAAAATTCCAACTGTAGGTCTGATCATGGGCAATAAATCCACACGAAATATTACCGAAGCCTGGAAATCTGATCATTGTGTATACACATTTTAAATTTATACGTAAAAAATTCACTGCACTGCCTATTGTCATATGGAGTAGCTTTGCAGATCAGTTCCAAAGCAGTTCGGAAGTGCGCTGCTGTCAATTAACACTTAGTTCAAGAAAATAGTGCTCGCGAAAGGACAATCGCAGAAAGAAAATTATTTCGTCTTAGCGTTTATTTATCAAATTCAAGGTTGATTAACACGAAAGTGTATCGCAAAAAAAGATTTTCAGCTTAATAATAATGTATATAATACTACAATAATCAGAATGCAATGGACGATATATATATATATATATATATATATATATATATATATATATATATATATATATATATATATATATATATATTTATATAACCTCGCCTGGTTAACTAGTTCACTATTTACTAGCCGGTCCTAAGCCTGGGTAAAAAGGAAAGGTTGGGCATAGTGCTAGCAACCCTTACCCGTAAAACAAATCTAACCGCTAAAGAAACTTTAAAGCACAAACGAAATATAAAAAATAAGAACAAACTTATTCCTAGCTGGAATCAGAGAGGCAAAATGACGCCGGTTGGTGAAAGCCTTCGGGAAGCCAATTGGCCGATATGTCTTCTCTGGATGAAAGCGAGAGTAAACGTGGGGACATGGGATGTCCGCACCATGTTTGAACTCAGCAAGGCAGCCCAGGTTGCAAAGGAGGTGAGAAGGTATCACATTGAAATGCCAGGAATTTGTGAAAGCAGATGGAATGGGAGTGGACTCTTCAAACTGGAAGGAAGGGAAGGTACCTGGTGATCGGAAGAAGGGCTAACTTGTCAAACTGCCGAAGAAGGGAGACCTCAGTGTTTGTAAGAACTGGCGCTCCTGTCCACCCCAAGCAAAATATTAAACCGCATCATCCTGGAGAGACTAAGGCATACGCTGGATTCAAAACTACGACCAGAACAGGCAGGCTGGATTCAGGAAGTACAAATCATGTGCGGACCAATTTGCAACGCTTCACATCATCATAGAACAAAGTATAGAATGGCAGTCAACCCTCTACCTCAACTTCATCGACTTTGATAGGGCTTTTGACAGTGTCGACCGAGAAGTAATTTGGCAGACAGCTGCATCAACACTACAGAATACCGCAAACCTTTATCAACCTCATTCAACAACTATTTGAAGACGCTACATGCCAAGTAATTGACAATGGGAAGCTCAGTGATGCTTTTGAAGTGAACTGAAGACAGGAGGGAAACAAAGTTGCCTACTATCCCCCATGATATTCCTGATTGTGGTTGACTGGATCATACAGCAAACAGTGAGGAGCGAGAAGAGGGGGATACGCTGGGCTGCGGAAAAGAACCTAGAGGACTTGGGTTTCGCCGATGACTTGTGTCTGATGTCACACAAACTCGAAGATCTACAGACGAAAACTAACAAGTTGGCAGAAGAGGTGAGGCAGCGAAGACGGGACTTCAAGTGAATATGGAGAAGACAGAAGTGATGAAGATACCGCACCACCAACAACAACAAACTCCAGTCACCATCAACGGGAGAAACTTAAAGGAAGTAACCTCCTTAACCTATCTAGGAAGCACTGTTTGAACTACAGGTGGCGGCACAGACGAGGATGTCAAAGCCAGAATGGGAAAAGCAAGACAGGTGTTCATTAGCCTGAAACCAGTGTGGAGATCTTCTGCACTCAGCACAAAGCGTGAACAAGATCCGGATTTTCAACACCAACGTCAAGTGAGTGCTTCTGTATGGTTGAGAGACTTGACGCGTTACGAAAGGGATTTCCAACAAACTACAGATATTTATCAACAGCTGCCTACGCTCGTTACTGAAGATCAGATGGTTCGCAAAAAGAATAAGCAACAAGGAACTTTGGCTGGTAACGAACCAACCAAGAACCTATCGCTGAACAAATATGCAGAAGGAAGTGGAGATGGATTGGGCATACACTGAGAAGGCCGACTAGGGACATCATGCGCCAGACCAGGCCCTCGAGTGGAACCCCCATGGGAAGCGACGAGTTGGGTGTCCGTGGGTGACATAGAGATCGTGCGAGGAGGAAATGAGAGCTTCTGGGCTGTCGTGGAACCAAGTTCAAAAGATCTCAGAGGACAGAGCGCATTGAGACGTGCTACTGAAGCCCTATGTTCCATCACGAACCCAAGGGACAAATAATATGATATAATAATAATAGTAATAATAATATGTATATATAGTGTAAACTTAATTTGCAACATTTGTGCTATAACTTGCATCTGATGTTAACTTCTCTGGCCCTCAGTATTTGTGAAACTATCCTTCTGAATCTTGACCGAAGATCGCATCAGCTAAAACTTATGTCCAAACAGCTGGAGTGGCTCATTTTTAAAAGAAAGCGAAATCATTTACAAGGCGAGTAGCACACCTTTCAGTTTTATACTCATCTGATGAAAACAAAACTAAGTGCTATGCCTTATACACTGCTAAAAAGCTTTATTTCAGTTGTTTGTCATTTGAAAAATTAGAATTCATCCGTGATCTGCAATAACCTCATTGTTTTACAGAAAGTACTCTAGCACATTAAAAATTCGGGACCTCAACTGTTTGAAAGAAACCCTTATTCACATTAAGCTAAAAATCAATAGGAATGCACTTCGAGAAGTGCTGTACTAAAAAGTGGCTAGAAATATTTAGAGAGCTGTTTATGCACGTATAATGTGTCTATCATCTTATTGACTGTTATACTTCAAAAGCACAAGTTAATTAGCTTCATAATCGACTTTCATAATGTTCTTATTATTTTTTGCTACAGATGTAAGTATAGATATAATAGCCTTTATTGAACTTAGTAACTGATCTTTTCAACATTTGGTTTTTTATATTACAGGATAATTGGTCTCCTGCTCTAACCATCAGTAAGGTTTTGCTCTCCATTTGTTCACTACTTACTGATTGCAATCCTGCTGATCCATTAGTGGGATCTATTGCTAGCCAATACATGCATAACAGATCGGAACATGACCGCATCGCGCGATTATGGACACAGAAATATGCGAATTCTGCCACCTATCCCTCTACTGGACATTCTCATAGTCTAAATACTGACCATGAGTCGGGTAGACGAGAAACACGGGTTGCGTTATCTCCTACGCCGAAGTCTTCAGACTCTGGACATTTAGGCTTCACATCCTCAAACAGAGATGACATTCTGACGGAAGTGCCATGCACAGAAAGTAGCAGCGCAAGTGCCTGTACGAGTGTTGGTGCTAGAAGTGATGGAGGAGAAAGTGTGGACGAAGTCCTAGATGATGACACTCCCGTACCTTCTACGGAACCACCCATCACCCATTCACTTACTCCAGCTTGATTATGTTGCTCCTAAACCTTGTTCATTTACCTGGTTCTTTCTTTTATTTATGGTTTCTCGCTTTGATTTAGTCCACTGGCTATTTTGTGAGGTTCTTTTGTAAAGAGGAATCATGCACAATTCATATCCTGTTTTCAGGTGATTCCAGTTCAGTTGACACTTTAGTTCTTCCTATTCGCATTCCCATGTTGGCATTTTTCATTTCTTCTAATTGGATAAAAGCTCTTCAAAGTAAATGAGGTAACTGTAGAAACCTCTTATGAGTAATATTTCTAATTGAGCATCTCAGGTTTGATAACTTTAGGTTTAATTCAAGTTGTGCTTATGCTCGTGTACATTATACTTCTAGACATTGCTATATAATTTTTGTCAGTTGCTTTCAGAAGCATTCTATTATATACTTAATTTCTTAACAGTTGTATAAATTTAGTACTATTTAAGGTATTTGTTTGCAAATATTTACTATTTCTTTGTTCTTTTTTAAATTTATGTGCCTGTGAACATATCAGCATTTTTGGTTCATTCATGTTTGTTATGTTCATTGAACATAGTATCCTTTTTAAGCAGAGATCAAATTCTTCATTTTTGGCCCAAGTGGACCAAATTTAACTAATTTTGTCATAGTATGTGTCCATGCTTGAAAGCGCGATTTGGTTAACCCATCAACTTAGCAAAATCGAAATAGTGAAACTACTTAATCTGTCTGAGCACATCCTCTTTTTAAACATTCTTCGATTATAATCAGACTGCAGATTGTTACGAAAGGATGATAAACGTTATGATGGTTTACAGACATCATCTTAATTACGGTATACGGTTTAATTCTCATCGTAATCTAGGATTACTATCACTAAGAGCATGTACAAGTCGAAGATGCGGCCCATAAAATAACCATATCTACTTTGCTTACTATATCTGGGGGTATCACATGTTGGCACTTGAGAATATGTAGTAAACCCGTCTTTCATCCGAGCAGTTGTAGTTTATAATAGCGGACAAACTCAAATTAGCTAGAATATTGCATTTGTACTGAAATGACATGATACAGATGGTATTATTATGGACAAAAAGTGGGTTTATCTGTAGCCTTCGATCGTGTCTGTGATAAATGTCATGTGAAGACAACGGAGTTCTGATGACCTAAGAAATCACCTGGTGAGAATTGTAGGTAGCATGGTTAACGTTCGACTAGTGCAGATCCATCCATTCTTCACGATAGGCCGAGAATCGTATGAACCTGTATTCATTTCCCCTTTTTATTTTATCTTTCTACTTCTACTAATATAATATATTGCTGCGACGTGTGATAACCTGAAACGCTACACTTTTGTGCGAGATTTTGCGTTGAGCTTTCTCAAAGAAAATGTAGATTTTCTATTTTATCGGATAAATTTCCCATCTTAGAAAGGAAACTGACAGTAGTCGTTTTTGCATCCTCTATGCTTAGGCAGACTAAGTTGTAGAAATATATGTACAAGTTATTGACAAGTCCTATTGTATTTATTTCAGTAATGTATTTCCAAAAGCTATTTGAGGGAACGAAGAATATTCTTTTCAATAACTACTTCCCATCCTAAAGTAATGTGTACATATTGAGGAGTTATGCATCAACAATGTTGAGATTTCGTTTATCAGTTTGTTAGTAATACTCTATAGTTGAGGAAGTCAATTGAGAAAAGTCATGTGTGAACGTGAAGGATAGAATCACTTGCTGCTAGAATAATTGACTATCTAAAGGATTATGCTGCGCAGGTAATGCTGTAAGGTGATAGTTTAATAAAATAATTGGAAGGTGATTATGAAAATTGGATGAAATAAACTAAGGGGGATAGTCTGAAGAATAATACCTTGATAGGATGTTATTCATATTGAAGGAACGAAATAGGTTTGAGGACATCATGCGCCAGGCCCTCGAGCGAAACCCAAATGGGAAACGGCGAGTTGGGCGTCCGAGGCGGGGATGACGTGGAGGAAGGAATAAAAGCTTCTGTGCAGTCGTGGAGCCAGCTTAAAAAGACTGCAGAGAACAGAGTGAAATGGCGATGTGCTAATGAAGCCCCTTGTTTCACTAGTTAGTTAGAAGGGATCATTTTTAGTTGTTAAACATCAATTAACAGTTCAGTGTAACCAATCATTGCCCACTACTATCCTCCCTAAATATTTCTGATGCGAGACCACTGGAACCTGCTGCTACTAGTCATTTCACGATACTCACGAACTTCAACTAGAAAGTGGTCGTTTGACAAGTGGCTGGAACCAGTTGAACTGCTCATCAGGGTTATCCACATTGTGAATCTCAGACCGATACTGGTCCCTCATAGTCTTACTGACCATTGAACTTGCTTTGAAAAGCCTAAACAACTAACTGGTTATGCTGGTCGTCGCTGCATTTACCATTTCTCTGTTCACCACCGCTGTGTCGCTACAAAGACACTTAGTAAGTCTGCATTTGAACTGCTTCCGCCCTACAATCTGATTGTAGCTTTCTGGAATGAGTTTACATGAATCTGTTAATTGAGATTTAGCATCTGAAATAAACTGCCCCTGAAAATCAGTTACGGCTTTACCTTCTGCATAAACTGCAGACGGCGCTTAACTTCCCACAATGAGCAGGGTTGTCCTATTTCGATGACCGTCCAAACTGTTTTCCGAAAGCAGCTTTAGAATAATCACTGATCGAAATTCAGAACGGTTTCCTAACAATTACTATCAAACATACACCTGAGCAGTATCCAAGCACACTCCAGAAGGAATGACAATCACCAGGCGACCTCTCCAGCAGCAACTGACAAGATTAAGACGCATCTGTGTACACTGTCGTTATGTCAGTAAAGATCATATCGGAAAGTATCACTGTGTGCACTGTCAAGGAAACTTATGTCTGAAATTGTTGCTAACCGTAGATAGGCGGTTGTCTGAGTACAGTCCCAGCAGGTGACTACCATTATCCGTTCGTACTGCTAGGATTACAAAGTACCTTTTTGTCTTTTTGTGCATTGTGGTCACCTGCTACGACAGCATTCGTCATCTACTTCATCCGAACTGCAGTCAGTAGGTGCGTAGACAGAGACAATGGCAGGTTCCACTGCTGTTTTCATTCCTCACTGTAGTGTTCAGTCGAGCAGTGCATACACGACTGTAAACTTGAAACCAGTCGAGCAGAGGACTTCTTACCATAGAAACTAATGCTATACCTAAACCTGCTGGCTCGCGAGAACTAGCTATCCAGTCTCCAGGGCGAAGTTTACACATTTGCCACAGTGACTTAGTGAGGTTAAGTGAATGATAACCCTTAAACCGTCTTTGGGTGTCTCACGAATACATGTCCGTAGCCAGAATTTTGGTTAGCGTAGACTATTACCCAGTTTGATGGAGAATGCGTACATTGAAAGTCGTTATCAAGAGCTGGAAACATTCAAGATGACGTTGAAATATCGACGGAGAGACGTGAAGAAAGATTAAAAGGTAGGGATGTGGAAAAATTGTAATCGTCTAAGAAGACGAATTCTGACAGAGGTCTGACGGTACTTGACACTTCCTGTCTATCCACAAAGTCAAAGTCCCTTCTTCTTGAGATACCTGAGAAAGAAATTGGTTTAGGAATAGTGCTACACGGTCACACGGCATTTTACGGAGTTTGCTATTCGAAAGTAATTGAACTTCTCCCGAACTGTGAAAAATGAGAGGGAAGGAATGTGCTGTATTCTTACGACTGAACTTTTTTAACCTCCCATTTAGATAATGGAAGGCAGGTTATCTACGGTTAACACCTTACTAGTGTTACAACCCGTACATCCAGCAGTATAACTTCGTACTCGTACCCGTTAGCTACACTACGACGGTTACTGCTTTCCACCCGCAGGCTTTACTGGCTGTAGACAACGATACAAAATTGAGCGACTGAGGAAATAGTGCGATTAAAAAAAATGGTCGTGAATTCTGGACAACTGCACGCTAGTAGATTTAGATTCGATATTTGCTTCGACATCTGTAAGCTGAGTAATTAAACCGTAAACTAGAAGAGGTAATAAAATGGTAGTTAGTGTGCTAGTCTTGTTACATATAACAGATATGAATTCTGTAGTGCTAAGAAGTTTGTAAAATCGTTGCGATGAGATTCTATCCTTTATTTTTCAACAAACTATGGAATATTACTTATAAGTGCAAATAAACATTTCATGAGAATAGCAAAATAAATATAATGTTTATTTTCAAAAGAGATAGAAACTGATCTTTTACAATATTAGTGGTAAAAAATATGAAAATATACATCAGTGGGTTGAAGTAAATTAATATGATAGTGTATCTTAATGTATGAGAATAGATATCATAAATCATCACAAATGGTTGAATTATTCATCGAGCCGTATTCGATGAACTTTCAAAAAATACACCTACTCGAGGTAGTAATTCATAGAACAATATATAAGCGTTGTCATTCTGAAAAGAAACAGAAAAACAATACGAAAGGATGTTGAACATACAACGTAAACAGAAAACTCCTCTGTATAATAGTCTCAACAATCGAATTGGAACTACCGAATAGTCTTGAGAAAAATATATTGTTTAAAAAACAAAAACGAATTCAGAAACTTTTTGGACCATGAAAAGGTAAAGATATTTTCTGATCAGCTAAGAAAAACAAAGTAGACAAATACTCAAGTGTGGAGGAAGTGAACTCAGAGTGAAATCATCCGAAGTAAGTAGTAAAAAGAGAAAAACAGGAAATTCAATATTTAGGAACAGATATCTTCAGTCCTATTTTAAAAAATAAGGAACCTAAAACTGTTTTCAGGAGCACGTTGGGACATAATCTTATCACGGTTTTACTATGTTTCCGACAGAATTTGTAACGAAAACAGAAAAACTTCGCAATACAGTCGAGGAGTTCTTGTCTTTCCTAAATATTTTTTCAATGGATAATAAGATTTTATGTACATTCGATTTATATTATGTTTGTTATATGCAATACAAAGAACCGTAATAATCGAACTTTTTAGCCAAATTATTTCAACATTTCTGATAAAATGTCACCCAAATTTATGTACACATTTCCCTTTCAACTCCCTGGTTGTGGAAAACCAACTCATGAATTCAATGAAGAAGATTAATGATACGCCTGAAATTCAGCATATTAGTAATATCTAAAATATGATTATTTTACAAAACAGTAACAAATCGTCGTTTAACAAACTGATTACTGATGTAGCTATCAAGCCCTAATTGTTTGATACATGTGAAAGTCTACTAATCAAGCTTGTAATTTAGTCACTGGGGGTAAATGATGATACGGCGAAGCACTGAACTTGATGTTATTTATTACCGACAGAAAGCTCTAGATATAGGTGTCTTGTTTCTTAACTCAATGACTGCGATAAGTGCTGAACACTTAAGACTTGACAGCCATATCGATGAGCAGTTTGTGCATTTTCATCTTCATCACTGACAACATGTAAAACTAATTTATCTCTTATTTCATTGATTCAGACAGATTATGTTATTGTTAACACTCAGGCATCAATGGACCTATCCTGCGGTAACTATGCAGCTGTACATTTGGTTTGTGCTAAAGTCTCACAAACAAGCAGATCCAGTCTTAGACAGCTAGATGAACAAGAGAGGACTTTTCACGAACATTTCTTTGGCGGGACTGATCTTGTTCTTCTAATCAAGCATCCATTTAGTAAAATTTATTACAGTTAAATTAGTATGACTCCTAATAAGAATCAGGAGTCAGCGATCGAGAACTCTTGATGATTTGATTGAAAATCGGTCACTGACATCTCCTAAAGCTTAAATATTTGTAGTAACCTTTATCTTTAAATTGTTTATTTTCTCACACAACTTTGTCTACTTTGATATCGCTCTTTTTCTATTTACTTGTTCTTTGTACACTACTGCGAAGTCCGTCAACGTGAGTCAATGCACATGAGTCCAAGGTTTTCTATGCCAACTTTTGCCTTTCCGTATATTTGACTCCGAATAAATGAGAATACTGTACATTACAGTGCAACAAGTTCATCCGGAAATCAAGGTGAACAGTTTTTAGTCAGGTTTTAAATAGTGAAACATTACAAACAATCACAATAGTCATATGAGGTTCGCATTCACAGAAGAGATATTATCCGCATACAGAGGGAATTGCAACTATCAGTTGTATATATTGTCCTATAACAAGTGCATCAACTATTGCGAATACACATTTTCATGCTGCATTTCCTGTTAACTTAAATTATCACCTCGTTACACAAAACGATTGATCATCTTCTATAATGTCATATATAAAAGTCAATATCATCTTATTTAGATAGGCCACTACAACTAAATATTTTGTTTACTTCTAAAATAGTTTAATACGAGAGTGAGATATCTTTATTATCCTATATGAATCCATATTCTATACAAGTTACCGAATCCTTTTGTTTTAAAATAAACTCCTTGATATACTAAAGCAGAAAAAAAAAAATCAAAGTCTAGTTGTTTTACCGTTTTCTATCAAAAAAATTAGGCAAGGAAATATGGACATTTACTTAATGAATGGATTAATGCTAGCGAATGGTTCAGTGACTGACTGAAAAAATCAACGTGGAACTTCGCACACGCGTGCATCGGCTCACGTTGTCGCACTTCACAGAAGTACACAAAGAACAAGTGCATAGAATAAGAGTGATATCAAAGTAGATAAAGTAGTGTGAGAGAATAAAAAATTTGAAGATAATGGTTAGTGTTAACATTTAAGCTTTAGATGTCAAGGAGTGAATACATCTGCGCCGTTGAGACTGATTTTAAGTCATGTCACCATTGATTTCTATTGTCTCGGTGACCCCAACCATGTGTCTACATCTCCCCACAAGATTCAGACCAACAGTAAGAGATTTCATTGACTGGTGTTATGTCTTGGTCTGGCCACCTTGAGCCCCTCTTCCAACTTAATCCAACTTCTTCCAGAATTTCATATTGACAAAGGTGGTGGCTCAGCATGTGCATTACATATCCAAGCCATCTCAGTAGTTTCATAGGTGGTTTAATACACGAAAACAATAGACAATGAAATTGTGTTTAGTATTTTACTTTGTTATTCTTGATTATACAAGGCATTTGTTCCACTTTGTCTCAATTTCTTCATGCAGAAGAACGAGTTTTTTTTTCATACTACGAACAGTAGCCAATTGTCTGTTGCAGCTGACTAAACATATTTTTTCCTGTGAAATTTTTTACTTTCAGAATTATTTTGGAAAAGGTTTTGAAGTTATCAAAGATTATTGTTTGTCAAAACATTTATTTACATTGTGATTGTACGCTGAAGCTGATTTGTATGCTTCACTCCACTAATCTGCCTTCGTGAAACTTTAGGTCCGTTTAGAAATTGTTCTTTACTGTTATATTTTATTTAGACGTCAATCAAGGACTTTCTCAATGTATTCGGCTGCTTTCAGTCTCAAAAACTTTTGGTTTGACATCTTAATGATTCATTGTCAGTGGTATAGCACCATTGAAAAAAATATCCACGTTTTAATGCCAAATTGGTCATCAGATTCTAGTAACACAAGATGAGAAACCCAGAGGGTTATTATTATGATTTTCAACCTGTAAGAAACGACAGTTCAATGTTTTTCGCATGCCTCAGATCCAATAAATCATACACAGAAACTATATGCGTATGTTCAACTAAAAATAAAAGAAGTCATAGACAGATGGAAAGAAAAACGAAATAATACGGTTTGCGAATATCTGATTATTTTGTCTTATATTAAATGACTATTCGAATATGAAAACACTTGAGTAGGTGAGGAATACAGTTGGCGGTTAATAAGCCTACATGGGTCGGTAATTAAATAATAGTGAACCTAACTCTCAAGCTCTAGATGCTGAGAAAATCTTACAAACCAACAGTGTGTTATGCTTTCGCTAAGCTGAGGGATATACCACGTTAGTGTGATTCACTTGATGTTAAATGTTTGGAGTCGATCGGAAGAAAGCCCTACATGACCCCAACTTGGTATTTGTTGGCATTCATCAGGAAGACAAATCTACAACTAATAAGATTATTGATAAAGACTTGAGTTTCCGTAATGAGTGAGTCAGGTTTGAATCTTATGTGCAATATGAGTTTTTTCGAAGTTGTAAATGTGTACTGCAAATAAAAGCACACGAAGGCAAGGCTGGTATTAAGAAGTAGGAAATATAGATTATTGGATTCCGACTAAGTGGCTGAATGGCAACGTGCTGGCCGCGGAACCTGAAGGTCCAAAGTTCGATCCCTGGAGGGGTCATGAGTGTGCACTGCTGAGTCTCATACTACGACGAAACAGCTGTCTATTGCCCCAACGTTACCAACGTTTCTCCAACTGATATCAGTCTATGATGAATACCAGCCGGAAACTAACCAATAAAACCCCTACAAGCCTCCAAATTGAATTACACAAAGGTAATTTGCATAGCAAATTGATGTTCACCAAATGACTTGTAAAAACAACAAGAAGTTTGCTTCATTGCAAGCTTTTACTGCTACTCCAGGCACACTGGATTAGCGATCTGACTCATTGTTATAGGCATTTGAGTGTTAATCATTGAGTCATGAGTTCGAATTAACTTCATCTAATCTAGGCAACCGAGTCATAATATACTTCTTAATAAACTAATGCATACACCCATATCAAGTTGTCGAATGATAAAATTTAAAAAAAGGAGAACGTTTGTTCTTCAACATGGATGTTTTAGTAATGACTTTAAGTATGATTAAACAATTTGGCAGTTCTTAAGGTTGATAATTTGCCTCTGTTGACGTGACTTCATGTCCAATGCATGATTATCTTTTAGATTGAGTGTATGCCATCAGAAGTTAAGTTAACTACTTAAGTAGTTCGTATCCATATGTTAGGAAAAACAGTTGCCTTCGTCTTTTGAACCTACATGCATGCAGTAAAATGAAAAATATATATCATACCTCCTTTACAGATTAAAATTATAAGCATGCATTTCACCAGTAAGAATTCGCATCACATCTTATTGACTATTTGTTATCTGAAGACAAAAGTATCGTTACGCCAACTTAGTTGTATTTTTTTGTAAATCACTGTAATTGTTTCTTTTATTACAAGATTCATATACACACAAACAAGCCATTACTTCAAATTAGAAAAATCCAAATCATAGTTACTACGATAGTTCTGGAAGAATTGCAGTGCTAACTTAGATAAATTAATTATAAAGATAAGTAAAGTATTTTCGAGATGAGTGGAGATTTTTAATTTAGAAGTAATATTCATCATGGACTGACACTAGTTGGGGAACCATTGAAAATCAGGGAGCACTGGACAGCCGTTTTGTCCTAGTATGGGACTCCTCAGCAGTACGCACCCACAACCCGGCTAGGGACCGAACTCGGGACCTTCAGGTTTCACGGCGAACGCGTTAACGATTCAGCCACTGGGTCGGTTCCCAGTGGTTTACAATTTCCAAATTCTGTCAATTCACAACATAGCGTGACTGTCAGGCAATGTCTTCAGTTAGCATCCACTTCACTTCCAACTGGTTGACCTCAGTTGGATCCCTAGCCGGGTCGTGGGTGCGTACTGCTGAGGAGTTCCATACTAGGACGAAACGACTGTCCAGTGCTCCCAGATTTTCAATGGTTCCCTAACTAATGTCAGTCCATGATAAATACTACTTCTAAATAAAAATAAGTCTTAATATGATCCCAATGTGTTTTAAACATCAAAATAAAAGTTTTCTAAACTTTTCACTGTGAAAAGTTACTTCATCAGAAGTTCTGTTATCCGAGATTCATATCGTTTAAGTTAGGAGACACTAAGTATTCTAACGAATTCAACTGGTAAGCATTCAAATCGTGAGTAAATACCTGTTTTGTCGTCTTAATATAGTTATCAGTCATTTGGATATCAATACAGTATTTTTCTGACAAAGCACCCAAAAAAACATTTTGTCTTACCTAAGTATGTAGAAGAATAAAAATACTAGATTTCCTCATGAAAAGGAGTAAAATTTGAAAGAAAAAAAATCTACAAGTGTGTAAAACAATTTTTAGAGGTGTAGAATTAAAGCGAACCGAAGAAATTGACAAATACATGTCTACAGATTTAATTTATTAACTGAAGTTTTCTACTGATTACTGCCAATAATCTAGCATCAAATAAAGTATAGTGGGCGTAGCAACCAAGTTAATCAAAATGTTTGGCAATACATTTCTTGATAATAAATCAATATACTATTTTTCACCTACTTGTATTTCATTTCTATTCAATAATGATACACTTTCATCATCATATTCATACCATCGACTATCACGGATATTTCGACAGAAGGCCGTATCTGTTGAAATGTAAAATATTAGAATGTCTTGTTGAAGTATATTATGCGGGAAAATGCAATGTTTCAACTCCACTTTTATGGATTAATAAAAAATTACAAGTGAAACAAGAACTTTTGCAGATACGATGATAAAACGTAGAAAAGGTTAGGGAATGATTGAAATGAAACACGGCGATAACGATGAAATTAATAACTCTTGCTTTGGATGATCCCTGTCCGAACAGGTTTTCAAGAAGGAGTGGCAATCTTCTGTCGACCATATTCAGAGATACCTAATAGCAATAGGGTTTATCTGTTGTTCATTTATGAGTAGGAATCATTGGATACCACTTCAGAGAGTATCTCTCTTTACGTCTGGAGTTCATGCTGACAGGAAGTGGGTGGTTGCCTGAGGGCAGTTGCAACAGGTGACTGCCAATATCCGTTTGTACAGCCACGATTACGAAGGTGCCACCAATGTGCCCTTCTGTCTGACTTAACCTACTTATCTGTGCAATGAAATCACTTGGTACAACAACCACTACTGATCGTTTGGAGTTCAGTAGGAGGCTGCACACCTTTCGGTAGAAATCATCATCCACTTCACGTGAACTATAGTCAGTGAGTGCATCAGCAGAGACTAGCCACCGAATCTCCAGAAATTCAAAGGGTAAAATTTACACTCACTACATCGAATGAGTACAGTTAGATGAAGGAAAATCAAAACGCACTCAGTAACCTCGTGCACATTTATATAGTGGGCAATTAATTACATATATTTTGTGGGGCTAATGATACTTTGCTGTTCAAACCTCCGTGAGTGGAGCGATGTTCAACCTTGTGGCCCACTGACTGGAAGTCAGCTGCATAATCCATTGAGCCACAGCTCTACCCCTCACCTTTAGGTTTCGTAGTGATGTTTTAGATATGCAACATATGATTATGGCCCGAGATATCAAGGTTTTGGATACAGAAGCATATTGTTGGAGGGTGCGGACAGTAAGAGCTCTGATGTGTAGTTTGCAGCGCGGAGATCAGGGATAATGCACTGTGAATTCAATTCGTTTTCAAGAGCTACGAAGTTGAAAGATATTCAAGATGGAGCCAGAGTATTGACAAGAGGATGTGAGAAAGATTAGGAGGCAAATATAAGGAAGGTTGATACTGAACAGAGGAGACATGGATCTTTAAAAAGTTGTGAAGGCGACTGACGCTTCCTGAGTCTATTCCCAAACAGACAATTAGGGGAAATATAGGGAAAGTACGCAAAATTCTATGTGCTTTGATAAAATACACAAAATTTTGCGTGCTTTGAAGAATGATGGAGGTTGGAAGTATCGCAGCCTTCCTAAGGGTTATGGAAAATAAATTTCGAGCAAAGCTTTTTCTATGCTTTTCATTATTGTCGAAGTATATCCCCTAAAGTTTTCACACGATTACACCTGCTACAGGATGTTTATATAAACTGCATTCCTATTCTCGCTATGCAGGTGAGTGACGATGCTATGCAGCATTGTTGGTTTTTCAATGTTAATGACGCATATACATAGAAGGCCACTGAGTGTTGACTGTTTCTTTTGCATTCTGACCCAGCCGTTCTTAAGAAAATTCTTTACATTGCCTCTATATGGCAACTTCATCGGACTATCTCCCTGCACATACTATCCCACCTTAAATTTTGTAGACAGTAATGGGAGTCCGTAAAACATGACCCAGTCAACATTTCTGATGAGCCGTTTACATCAACTAATATAGGTATATTTAAGTGTTCAGCAAGTAAGGCATGAATATAGTTGATGATATACTATGTAGATGCATTGTCGTTTCCTCTAAGAATCATGAGGTAGTAATACCGCTGCTCCACACATTCAGTTAACGTTTTCCACAAAAGCAACCTCCTTTTCATGATGACTGTAATGGAAGCTTGCTCTTCCGTTACAAGAAAACTGATTTGCATGTCAGCCATCACGGCATGTTTCGGATATGTATTCATAAATTTCCCATTTCCGTAATTCCTCTACCCAGTGCTCAGATAAAAAGTTCTTGCTGCTCCACACTCCAGATAAAAAACGCATTGTCATCATATCCCGCGAATGGATGCTATCCACGGATACATGCTTGTTCCGAGAAGGTCGTTATGGAAAGACACTGAAAGCGAACAGGACTTGGATAATCAAAACTATTTTTACATGAATCTTAGAGATAACATATGCAGGAGAGATGACGGGAAGAAGTTTGCAGACCAGGGTAAGTACTTCATTGAATCAGATAAAAATGGCAAATATGTAACTACGGTAATTATTGACATTCGTAAGATTGTTACTTTTAGCCTGCATGAAACGTCTTAATGCCACATACATCTTACTTAAGAACCCTTCATATCCCGTTTACAGGATCCATTGCATCTCAACAGTGATCATTCTAAGTAAGTTAACTAAACACATATCTATCGCTATTTTTCACACATATATGTGTTCTTTTACACGAAGTAAATGACTCAATCCCACTTTTCTTGTCTTTCAGGGGCAGACAAAGGACACAATCTTTCAACCTAATCAATGATGATTGAAATCATGTAGTTTTCATTTATGACACCAACTATTTTTGGACATATGACTGTTTCCTTCATTCATTATCTTGTAAACTTCAAGATCAAAATTTGACCTGATAGAGTTGAATAAGTTGAGCATTGGGTAATTAGATTATAAGTGAAATATATTTTTTAAAATCCCAATGAAGTAGAAAAATTAGTTTCTGGCGTTTCGCAACTTCGTGGAAATCTCTTCTTCGGCGAATAAAACCCGTACAAGTTATCGATAGTTCAAATAGTAAAAGGTGACGACTCAAATCACATTGTCTATACATGATGATGAACATTTACGTTCATTGGGATTTTACAAAATATATTTCATTTTCCGATGTAAAGTGGCATGATAATATGAATTGGGTGGTTAACTAGAGTTAATTAACGTATCGGTTATGTAAGAATAAAATTTGCCGTCTCAAAGATTATGCAACACGCACGCGTGTTGCGGAAAGGTAAGTTAAATCAATTTTGGCGAAATTCTGGTGAAGTTATATTTATTTTGGTAAAATTTTAGGGATATGCAAATACGAATTTGGGGGCATTCTGAGGAAACACGCACTCTGGGTAAAATGTGGATTAATTATTGCATTTCCCCGATATTTCCCCCAATATTTTACATTGGTTTTCCCCAATTTTTAGCTTACATCGATCGATGTAGATTAATTCATCTTGACTTGCGTGAAAAAGAAATGGGATTAGTAATAGCGGCATCTGACTGTAGAGCATAATGCTATCTACTAGAGGATAGTCACACAAGGTTTTTTCCGAAGTTTGTGATTCAACTTTGACTGTCTTAAATCCAGCTGAAAAATCTACACTGCTGGTGGCGGAAAGTCGCAGGGCAGGAGGATGTGCTATTTTCGGGGGTGACATTTTCTGACCTCCTTTCGATTGGAGGGGGAATATTAGCTGTTCATCCATCGGGAACAATTCGCTTCAGCTACATTTTTGTCCCGCCATGAGTAAAACTTAGCCTTTAGATTACTAGATAGTCTAGCAAACTATGCGGTATACATCCTCGTGATGCAACACAATTCAGTTCAAAATACGTATATAATTATTTAATGCACTTACAATGACCACTTTCCATTGTACCACGATGATTCTATATGTAAATCAGAGAAAAAGTGCAAATTAATCTTTCATGAAAAACAATGAATGGTCCTTTAAGTGCAAAAAAGTTACATAAGAGATGAGACAAAATTCGTATGATTAAAATGCAATAATATAATCTTTATTATTTGGCTATTCAGTGAACCGATGTCAGTAACCTCAACAAAGTCCTGAATGCCAAAATTAACTAAACGCATTGAAATCCGAACAATAGCAAATATTCCTTCAATCCTACAGATAACATCCGTTAACAAGTAATAGTAAAGCAAAAAGTATAGGTCAGTGATATCTTGTAGATCAATTTCTACGATGTTAGATCGATAATCAAGCATGGTGACATTCAGTAAATTAATTGTCAGGAGACATTTTATCATTTAGAGATCAGAAAGTTTAACGAGTATCAAAGCACAATAACTATTGCTGCAATTATATCAATACCTTTCATTAACGTTATATCAGTACTTAGCTGTATATTTATACAGCAGGACTAGTGCTGTTTGTTTGTCATTAAAACTACGTGCTTTCACGCCGGATCAGATGCGATTATAGGTATGAACTTGTGTATTGATCATCAAACGTGTTTTGACTTCTGTTGATTGGATTAGATTGATAAGACATTTTCTGACAATACAAACATCTGATATATATATATATATATATATATATATATATATATATATATATATATATATATATATAAACTATTATTATTACTGTTATCACCATCATTATTATGGACATCGTTCGATAGAAATAACCTACCAAGACAGCGAATAAAGCATATTCACTGGAATGCAATTTGGGACCCACAATAAAGGGAGCCATATCTAGACTTTCAACAGGAAAATTTACACTTGTTGTCTGTTTCCTCCAGTTACCATATTCATATCGAAACCTAAAATTAGAATTAATAGATACTATAAGTAGATCCTTAAGCTAGTGAATGAAAACATTTTGAGGATTAACCTCAGTATTCACTTAGACTGAATCAGCTAAAATTCATCTTAAGATATTCAATATACTTGATTGTACAATACAAGGTGACAGTGAAACGAGTTTTATTGTCGGAAAAATTTGATTCAGGAAATAAAGACAACTAAAACATGAGGTGATGGTGGTTCGGTGTTCTCTGAACTTTGGTATTTTGTCGTGGAGGCTTCATCTCCAGACTTGGTGAAGCCCTCAGTACTAACTTTATAGAGAAGTCACCTTTTAATGAAGGTAGCGCTGACAAAATACCAAATCTCAAAGAACACTTAACCAGCATCATCCTCAGCCTGGGCTAAAAATCTTTTTGATCAGTTTAAATCATGAGACTTCGAAATCCAGTTCTGTGAAATAGAATTAATTTATTAGCTCGTATTCCCTGTGACCAATTTAAAATATGTGATAGAAACCAACGGTTTAAGCGTTATACCAATAAAATCTGTATTCTTAGTGTTTCCGGTAAATATTACACAGTTGAATAACCCGTGAAATATTACTCTCAAAGACAGACTACTCTGATATGACTGCTAGACTCCAAACTAATGAACACAAGCTCCTCTCACATTAATAAAACAAAGTGCAACTGGATAACTTACTATAGATCCTATACTAGGCAGTGAGTCACATTAATGTGTGAAGGCTTATAATATTATACACTGGTTCAGCCTGGGTACAGCGGAGAAGTTCAAAGTTCTTATCATACTTATTTACAAACAAAATCTACCTAACATTACTAAAAAATAAAGAAGAGGTCAAAGTTGTTCACATAGTTTCTGAAAATGATTCAGTACGAACACAAAGTACAAATAAAAACCATATATGTATATTACCAATCTGATATATTCTGTTATCTAATATTAAGTGAGATTGAGCAGCTGGCAATCCGTACAAGAAACAGTTAGAATTTCTGTTTCAAGTGTACAGTATAAACACCAATCTTTTAAGTTACTTCCTAAGTTTACGGCAGTTTCCTGAGTAAAAGGTATACACAGTACGATAAATCAGGTTCCTGTAGGCATCTGACAATTCGAAAGACTGTAAATACTATTTCTGTAGATTACCTTCATCTTCTGGTCTAATATCATCATCATCATCATAAACCGATTTATTCGTGGTAATTATTAGGAACATTGTTTTGTTGATTTTAAATAATAAGCATTTTATTCATTCATAAAGATACGACCATAGTAGATCATTATCCAGAAGCATAAGCGTAGTCTAAACTTCTATAAGGCAAGCTTATCAACCAACGATGGTTATAAGATAACAGTGTACATTGAATTGAACAAAAGTAGAATTTTAGATAGGAGATTAATATCTATCTTGTTAGAAATTCAATCAAATCTATTTATGACTCATCACTTAATAGGAATTTGTTTTTGTAGTTATACGAGCATGTATTACATGACGTGGAGTCAAGTAATACAATAGTGACATTTTGGTATTTAAAGTGTAATGAAATGTAAAATTTCATTGCATTTTCAGACAAACACATAAAAAAGTACTTTCTGTATTGGAAAACTAAGTTACTCAGGAAATCATAATTGGGCTTTGAATTAAGGTTTCTAAAAGATAAAAAGAGACCATCATAAAACCTTTTGATGTTTCAGTTAACTCTTTTTGCTTTTAGATCTTGGTTGGTATACTAAGACAACAAATGTGAACGACATATTTGGCTTCAAAACAAACGAAAAATGACATACTGAAAGAAATAGGAACTGCACATATCAATTCTGTGGACAGCTACTTTACAGAATGACCAAAATCTTCCAAATACTAAACTTCTGATTAGAAGAACGATTATAATGCACACAGGTGAATATCTAACACAACTTCACACTTTACTTGCTTTTATGATGATAACTTCCCTAACTGAAACCTACTTTTCGTGTATAAATAAGTCTATTGATTTTAACCTGTTTAACGCATAAGAAAAATGACAAACACTCTAACTGAGCTGCGTGGTGAGTTGATAATCCTGGGATGACAAACTGTTGGACGTCTTAGATGAAATGCTGGTGCAGACATACTCCACTAAGTAACACATGCTGTAAATATCGAACATCCTAATATTTTAATCCCATCCGCTATTGAAAAGACGAGAATCTGAAGATCTATTTCACAAAGTTCACAACCTTTCAGGTATATGAAATTAAAACAATAAGTAGTATTAACAGTTAAATAATACTATTAATGAAAATGTTAAGAAAATAAGAAATTACCTCTTCAAGTGTATAATCAAATACGTTGGTAATTTCCATAATTCTATGCATTTGGAAGCATCTCGTCTAGTATCACAAGTTGGACAGTGCCAACGGCAAGGACCGACCATTTCTTCTTTTTTAAGAAACAACTCAAGACAATTCTATGAGATTAAAAAAGAAAAAAACAGACAGTTCATGTATTGTATTTCGAGGTTAATGGGTAGTATTCACCACGGACTGACATCAGTTGGGGAATCATTGAAAACTGGGAGCACTGAACAGCTGTTTCGTTCTAGCATGGAACTAATCGGTAGCACGTACCCACGACTTAGATAGGGATCGAACCCAAGAACTTCAGGTCTCACGTCAAATACGTTAAACATTCAGCCACTGGGTAAGAGTCCGATGGTTCCCAGTTTCCTACTTCTGCAATTTCGCAATATACGGCGACTATCACCTACGATCTTCAGTTAGCATACGCTTTTCTTCCCACTGGCTGACCGCATAAGTCACAGCTTCTGATTAGAACTTCAGGATATCCATCTAGAAGCATGTCACTAATGAGGATTATACAGTAGTGTATTTTGAGGTTAATGGGGATTCGTTTTTAATAAGGTAGAATTCATCACTGACTGATATCAGTAGGAAAACCACTGAAAACCTAGGAGTTCATGTATTGTCCGAAAAATTATTACTGACGTTACTCATTCGTGGAAAAATCTATTGAAATATGAGTGTGAATGAAAATTCAGTGAGCAATTTCATTCCTCGTAAATTCGCAATCATAAGGAAGAAATGAATATAACTTAATCAGCATGCGCAGCTGTGCGTTTTAGGTTGTTAATCACGTCTTTGGCACAAAGATGAATAATATTTATTAGGCACCAGGATAAAAACAGATGAAAAGTAATGAAATAAGTTATCCGCTTATCCTTCATATGTGCACTTTTGTATCTGTATGCTTTCAATATCCATATTTGAGTTATATACATTCAGGTGTTCCGTTGCTACTCCTTTCAATCTTCTTGATTGGTTCGATCGATATATACGAGAGTGCGTTGCATGTAACACTGGAATTGTCTTGCATTCTACTTCACTCGGAAGACATACATTTTTCATTTGAATATTAGTAGTGCGATATATTACTTACTTTCCCGTTATATCATTAACTTGTCTTGAAAGAAAAGATATCATACAGAGATATCTTTTAATTGTCAAGATTGTAGTGTATTGTACTGGAAACAAATCAGGTTACATTAGGCTTAATACCTTCATCCAGGCATAATTGGTAACGTCTTTACCATTCACAGTGTTAGGAACCGACTTCTTGATTGAGTTATAATGTGCTGAAATGATTTCATAAGACACTGCTGTATACTGATCCAACTTTTAGGCGAACAAATTTATCCTACTTACAATCCAGCTATTATTGGATATTAGTTACTAAGGTAAACAATCATAGAAGGAATGCACAATGTGCATACCTTCCCGACTGATGACTGCTACCTTGACGTAGTGATCGGGCATGCATATCACATTGACCCAACGAGCTATGCTGATGGGACACTTGTTCCCTCGAGGTCCTTACATACCAGAAAGGTCTGTTGGATAGTGGTTAAACGAAAAGCAGTTACCGTTGTGGTGTAAATTACTACATTATGATGGGGGTCTGAAGGAGAAGTCGTACTGCTGCTACCTGGATGGGGTGTGACAGCAGTAAGGTGTTTCCCTTGGATGACCAGCAATGCCATGCTGCCTTCTCAGTGGAAGAGGTGTAAGAAAAGGTAGGCCCCAAAATAACACACTCCACCATACCCCATGGTCTGACAGTGTTCGTCCATTTGTCGTTTCTTTTTGACCATCCGGCCCCGAGGCAACAAAAGCTCGAAACAATCAAACACAAAAGCTGCATGTAACAAGCCCCAAGCAGACGTCCGATGGGCTATGTGGTCACACAAATCTCTTTCAGAAATAGCCTTCCACGGTGTGGGCAGCCGGGAAGTATCAATCGCCCTCACAACTCTGTCAGCACTCAAGTTTCCTAAGACTGCTATCCACCTCCCCCATCATTACCTTCTAATCTTTCTTCACGTCTCTCCATTAACGATGCTACATCATCTTGAATTTCGCCTAGCTCTGCAGCCCTCGACAACGATTTGAGTTCACGAAACAGCATCCTTAGTCTCCTTAAACCACGATCCAAATTACATGTTGGAGCCTTCAATGTCCAAACCCTCCGTCAAATTGGTCAACAGGCTTTGTTGGCAAAGACTAGCAACTCAGGCCATGGATATGTGCTATGTTTGTGAAACGCATACAGGACCCAAGTGCGGTTATTCACCTGACCTCTCCTGACCAGTCTGGTGAATTCTCAACATTCACCCTTCGAGTTTCTGGAGATTCGATAGCTAGCTCTCGTGGTCTTGCAAGTGTAGGCATAACACTAAGCACTAGGGCAGAAAACTCACTACTAGACTGGATCCCAGTTGATAGTCGCCTCTGCGCTATGCGGCTGAACGGCACGGTAAGAACTAAAAGGAATAGGGAGACTCGCCATCGTCTCTTTGTAATCTCTGCTTACGCACCCACTGACTGCAGCTCGGATGAAGTGGAGGACGAGTTCTACCGTAAACTGTCTAGCCTCCTCTCGAAAGACAAATGTCCGGAAGTGGTGGTTGTTGCAGGCGATTTCAATGCACAGGTGGGTAGACTGAGTGAGGTAGAAAGGCACTTTCCGAGTCCCGGCTGAACGAACAGATAACGGTGATCGTGTACTACAACTGTGCTCAGATAGTCACCTATTTTTAGCCAGCACAAATTTCAGACATAAGAAAAGACACTATCTGACGTGGCGTCTACCAAGCCCAACCCAGCAATGGAGACAGATAGACCACATTGCTATTAGTCATCGCTGGAGAGGATCGGTGGAAGACTGCCGCTCCTTCTGGAGTATGTTTTGATAGCGAACACGCGTTGGTCCGAGTGCATATATACCTGCATGGACGTAGGAAAAATTTAGCAACAAAACCACTACGAGCGTTGCAGAACAACGAAAACACCAAAGCCGTATTCAGTGAGAAATTGTCTAGGCAGTTATCGGAACACTCATCCAGAAGAAGTTTGGTGTCATCTCCACTCGAAGGCTAAAGAGATGGAAAAGGCAGTGGCGACTGGTAACAGTAGAGAGTTATTAAGTAGACTGGAGGGAAAAGGTCAACTGCGGTTGGTGCGACTATAGTGAAGAAGGACAGATGTGGGATTAACTAGCAGGGGAGACGACTGGAACGATGGGCAGAACATTTTGAGGAACAGTTTAACTGGCCTCCAGCCACCATTATGTTGCCTGCTATCCAGTCGGATCCTGAATGGGACATTGAGATAAGCCCCCAACACTAGCAGAAGTTGAGAAAGCAGTAGATAACCTGAAACAAGGAAGAGCGGCAGGACCCGACGGACTAACTTCTCAGGTATACAAGGATGGTGGTAAGATGCTCTTAGTCAGGTTAACGGGAGTGTTAACCAGTACATGGGAATCAAATACGATCCCCTCTGACTGGTTTGAATCACTGATTATCCCAGTCTTCAAGAAGGGTGAGAGGTCTTCTTGTGATAACCACAGAGGAAATAAGCCTGACGAACATAGTGTTCAAGATCCTGGGTTCCATAATTCCTCGACGCCTGAGTGGAGCTCGGAAACAGCAAGCCCGAGAAAACCAGGCAGGCTTTAGACCCGGTGGCGGGTGCATCGGTCAAATATTCACACCGTGCCAGGTTTTGCAATACGGATACACTTACCGACGCCCGAAAACAGATGTATTACTCGACCTGAAGGTGGCACTCGACTCCGTTGATCGAGAAGTCTTATGGCAATATCTCTCACTGAAAGGCGGGTCGACTAAGAGGTACATCACACACATACATTATCCTCATCTTAACGCTATATCCAATCTCACCATTTTTTCATTCCTCCTTTCTCTCTTTTCGTACTTCATATTTCTTTTGACTGAATTTTCTTTTCTTCACCTTCCACTTCACTGCCTTTTTACTTGATATACTGATATGAGCTGTGGCAACTCAGACCGTTACGCAGTAATGCCTGGTCCTATGTTGATTTGGATGGATGCACAATGTGTCTTTAAATTACGTAAATCAACACAAGTTAACTATCTGATCAAGAGTATAGATACTACTATTAAAAGTTTTAATATTTTCGCATCTCTGCATGAGATGTGAAAAGAGTAGCTCATCACTGGTCATGTCACGCAAATAATCATACTAAACGAAACATTACCAATATCAAGACAATAATAATGCGGATGACAATTTAGTTTGCGACCGTATAACAAAAAAGACGTCAAGCGAAAGAAATTCCTCCTATCTCTGTTTCTCTCCCTTCCTATTCACTTTTAATATAGTTCCTAATAATTCCTTTCGGACTGTGAATGGATCTCGAAATAACTGAGTTACTAAATTATGACAAAAAATTACGAATACTGTCACTTATCGTTATTTGTTACTATATCCAAATACTATGAACAGAGTGTGCAATTTGTCAAGCAGTTGACTATTACATGAGAACTTAGGTCGGAATTCCTCCCTCTAGAGGACAGTTTAGTGAAAAGTGAATGACCAATGCATAGTTTACGAATAAGTTACTACCTTACTTTAAAGTCAATCAGTCAGTTCATATTTAGATAGTTTGAATAATCTGACAATCTCTAGATATATATTGCTAACAAGACTACCATTCAAAGTTGATGAATTTTCACAAAATAAATACCGACTGAGTGCATGCATCGCACTAATTTATTCAGCTGCAAAATTAACAGTTGTCTATAATACGAAGAACATGATCACAGAAACTAATTTAGATGTGAGACCTTCAATATTATTTATTGATTTATCTGTACTTGCAGCAGCGTCGGAAGAACGAAGAGGGTCCTTAGTAAACGAATCTCTGAACGTGTATTGCAAATCCTGTGACTGAAAGGTGGAAGGCTACCAACCAGTGACATCAGTAAACAAATCGTCGATACAGGTCATGTCATCGATTTTCCAGGTTATCAGTAGAAAAACAGATAGAAGATTGCTACGTTATACAGAAGCAGCAGCAATCCGTAGACTGGAACAAAACTTATTTGTACGAAAGGAGTTTTTGATTCATCTTGCATCGTTTTGATCAGTTATTTTTTCCTACAGTTTTATTTACCCTAATTCTTTCATCTTATTGTCTTACTATTCTCAAACAATATTCATGTCCCTATCATTTTCGATTTACTTCAGTTCATTATATATTTTATTCACCGTGTTTTGCCGATCGTTCCCTTTCCAATCCTTGACCATTAATTCACACACACACACACACACACACACACACACACACACACACACACACACTGTTGTTCTTTTCTCTTTATAAAAACTCTTACTTCCTTGAGATTTAATCACATTCTTGCATTACCATTATGTTATGTAGTTTTCTTTGGGTTTACTGATCGACTTTACAGTTTTATTTGTCCTTAATTGTTCTCTGTATTAGTTGACTATGTCGTGAACTTTGTCATTCATCTGTCCCCATATATTTGTATTGCTGTCCACGCCTGACTTTACGACTCAAATGTATCGAACGACTTATACTGGACACTAATACTTTATTGTACACAATTTCAAATTTAGTGCGTGTGTAGAAGATTTAGAGCACACAAAATGGATCCGATGCATCTCATAGTGTTCGTTGTTATTGCTCTGCAAAAATTTATAAAGGGAACTAATTGTATGAAATATATGAGTTGTGCACTCAGGAAGAGAAATAAGTATTCAATGTTCGAATTACTTTGACGTATTAACGATGGACGGTGGTTAGTAGTGGAATCCAGTGCGCGCGTTTCGTCTTGTTTGGAACTCGTCAGCTAGACGTACATACCAACACCCCAGTGAGCGATGTTGTTCCCACTAGGACTCGAACCCGGGAACGATTGCTTCAAACGCCAGAGCGAATCGCCATAACCACTTCTTGTAGGACAGGTATAGTTTCCAATGTTGTTACTTGTATTATCTCGTCGTTGATTGGACCAAATTTATCGGCCTCTAGTGGCATATGGACTCCTGCGCGAATTCCTCGACACTGCCTGTTTCAATTATATATTAATGATGATCAGTGTAATAGGCGCCTAAGTACTCTTATCATTCAATAGTAATTTGATAGTTATGAGACGGGAAGTATAACTAATGAAGTTTACACGACAAAGTATTTTTAACCACATTGAATAAAGATGACAAAAACGATTTATTCGAGTCTGTAACAGATTGAAATCGATTTATACTGGACTTTATTTCCATCTGATAAGGGATTATGACAAGTAAAGGAACACGCTTATTAAATGACAGTATGCATTTATATTACAAATCAAAACATGAGATACTTATGAGTAGAGGACTCGTTATATAACCTTTTTAATTGCCGAGAAAATGTGACTGTAATTATTTTAGAAAATTATAAGCTAGAACAGGAACAATATAATACAGAAATTTTGTCATACACTATGGTACTTTCCAAAGATGAAAAAAACAAAACATAATTTAAGCTTTGATAATTGTTTGATGTTCTCCGGGCTTTGAAGTGAAATAAATGATGATGAATTGTTCTAGTGTGATAATGAAACACTCAAAGGGTAAGCTTGGTGAACTCCAAACTATTATCATCCTAATAATGATCTAAAAATCGTCTCTATCATCTCAATTCAGGCTTTAATCAAAGAAAGGAAGGAAATAACTGATAAACGCTAAAACATGTATTAACACATTGTACATGAAAACAGTTTCCAGCGAATAAAACTAGCATTTTCAGCATTCAACGTGAATAACTTTCGAATTATGTGGACTACTTAAACCCGCAGTGAAAAAATCAGTAAGTAAAGCCATTTCAACATTTCGATTTCCACAAATGCTTTTCTATAAAGATGGCACTTATGAAACATCAAAGACAACATTGCACCATATCATGCTTTGAATGAAATTGTACACCTTAACTAACGAAATCGATTCAAATGACTTCGTACTTCGTTAGCCAAGTAAAATCAGTTGAGGTTTCACCTTTCTCCAGAGTTGTCATAGTAGTACGTCTAACAACTAGTAACTCTGAAGGCTATTTAGACTGAGTGATTTCCTTGTGCATGCTGACTGTTACTATTATCCAGTGGTCGACTTTACTGTTTTCTCTCTTTCATTATCTGTTAACTAACAATCAAGCTGAATATCAACCATTTACAAATTTGTTTGAAGATTTACCCATAAAAGTTCAAGATTTCTACGTTCTTACAGTCAAGTTGGGCGACTATAAAGGCCACCCTAACAACTGACAAAATGACCAATCAGGTTGCGGTATTTCGTCTGAGAAGACCATTTTTTATAGAACAGAGAAACATGATTGGTTGTTTCATCAGTTGTTAGAGTGGCATTTTAAAGTCACTCGCCAAGTTTATAACCAGTGTCATCAACATGAACTCACATAAGGAAAGAAACGTCATGCCACTTTTAACAAGTGCCTCAATAATGACTAGGTGGAAATCTAGAATCAAATAATTTAAAGTTAAGCTCATTTATCGATTCATGAAAGTAGTTGATGCAAAAAAATAATAAGGCATAAAAAAATATTGCTGATTAGTTCCAGAATAAAGTGGAACAGATTTTGAGAAAATTCTAGTGCTTTACAATTTTTTAAATGAGAATCATGTATATATATATATATATATATATATATATATATATATATATATATATATACATATATATAATGGAACCACACCACATTATTGTCTTGCATAAAGGGCACAACTGACAGCCTATTAATAATAGAAGTGGACAAGATAGACAAATGGTATTAGTAGATTATATCTAAATTAACACTTTCGACAAGTTTCTTATTCACATGACGTAATTCTTCTGACATTTTATCGTTTGTGTGAAATAAAAACTATGAAATACAGATTGATAACATCAACAGTAATCGAAACAGTGATACGGCAGGTGATTACGACAAAAAAATCAAATTATATACAGATAGAATGAAACTGTGACATGAATTTCACATATAAACAGTTTGTTAAAAAAATAGTTTTCAGCACCATCTAATAATAACTCCATAGTAGCATATCTAATGTCAGTGCGAACAGTGAAGCAGAATATTGAATAGTAGTGGAAATAATAGTATGACAATAATTATTATTACATATACTTAGCGAAACGGAGAATCTTAAGGTAGGACTGACTTTAAGTGGAGAGCTATTGAAATCCCGGGGGGGGGGGAATGAACAACTGTTTCATTCTAGTACGAGAATCCTCAGAAGTAGGCACCCACGGCCCGGATATGGATCAAACTCAGAACCTTTAAGTTTCAGGGTGAACGCATTAACTATTCAGGCACTCGGTAGGAGTTCAATGGCCGAAGGTTTCCTATTTCGAACAATCATCTACATTCTACATTTCAATGCCATAATTTTGCTTGATCTCAATAAATCACGCAGTGAACTGCACATACCTACAGGTTCTATTTCCAAAGGGATTACGTGCATGTTTCAAACGTTTAGAGGAACAAAGTATTTAAAAACGCAAATAAGCAACTGGAGCGAAGTACAGCTTGATGATTGGGCTTCATCGTTAAGAGCAGTTATAAGACAAGATTTCGACATATATTCAAAGCAGGTAATTTGTTTATCTCGTGTGATAACAAAGCGAATAAACAGAAAAATAGGAGCGTCATACAAACCTTATTATTCATTTATTTCAATAGCTTTAAGAGACATTTTACCGTGCGACTTCAAAGGCCACCCCAAGAACGATAGAAATAACTAATCAGGTTTCTTTGTTTCGACTGGAAAGGCAGATTTTCATAGAACAGAGAGGTCTGATTGATTATTTCAGTTGTTGCTAGGGTGGCCCTTAAAGTGACTCTATTTTACTTAGGGTTGGCTTATTTTCGAGCGACTTTAAACTTAGCCTAGCAACTGCTGAGATAACCAATCAGGCTTCTATATTTTACGAAAAAGGATCTTTCTAGCCGGAATAACGAAACCTGACTGGCTGGTACAGAAATTCACAGGAATGCCTTTTAAGTCACCCCTTCATTTCTGATATAGTTGTTTAGCTCATCTGAAGTGCTTTCCGCTGACTCATTCAATTTATTGTATGTCACGTGGAGTCGATTGTATAAACCCAGCTTTCATGTTTAAAATTAAGCATCGCAGCCTTATGAACTACGGTGCGTTGATGTCATGTGATTCAGCTTACATGTGCATGACTTAAATAAGGTTAGGGAGGCATTAGTGTTTACCTTATGTTGTACAGTTGGAGGGGGAGAAAATGATATTTAAAGCGTAGCAAATACTAACTTGTCTGGCGTTCCCTTCAGTGGGGTGGGGTGACTCAGAGACATGGGGAAGCGCATGTATTATTAAGACGGTACGGTAGTCAGAATGTCAGAAACATATGATACTCAAAGTTATCCGCTTGGTTGCTGTTACATCACATATAAGATATGAAGTATCAATAACACCTTGGTCCTAACTCTTGAACATAAACTGTAGTGACTTTACAGATCACTCTAATCATCACCAAGATGGCAAGTATATTTATTTTATGAAAAAACTACCATCCCAGTTGAAATACAGAAACTTGATTAGTTATTTCAACAGTTGTTAGGGTGTCCTTTAAAGTCACTTCAATTGCGTACCAGGTACAGTTACAAGATGTGAAAGATTTCAAAAAGCTGATGGTAATCACACCGGAAATCTGAATAAAAGGAGGATTTTTCTACATGCATAAACGTACATTCATATACAAGAAGAATAAACTGCTAGGACTTACTGTCAACTGACATGCATTATTTTGTTCCATAGGTAAAGATAATACCATGAAAACATCAAATGTAACGGAAGTTTTGTGACAATCGTTACACTTTACAGTGGAGCGCAATAGTCCCTGTGGATTCAGAAAGAAAAACAGAATTAATCACTAACAGAGTGAGACAACAACTCAAATAGATCAGGGTTACAAAGATTGTGGTGGAGATTCGGCATTTTATTTATTTGGATTCTGTTTGTTATAATTATGAGCCAGAGTACAAGTATGAACTGACACACACATCACAGTAATTCCTAGAAATTCGTATAAATAAATTATAGTCGGATACTAGGCGGAAGCTGATCACCAAAATTATCCAGACAGAACAAGTTTGAATAATAGTAGAACGCAAGAGTGACTGAAAAGTCAGGGTTATGGATATGTTTGAGTATTCTCTGTCAACTGGAACCATAATTTAGGAAATTGAAAAAAAGCATCACTAGGACTGTTAGTTGCTGAATATAGTTGGTTTATTTGGCCATTGAATGCCTTTACTTCTGATGAGATAATAACTCAGTACCATTGGGGTAAGAAGGAACTTCACATGTAAACATAGGAAAAAATAAAGGTGTGAGGATTTTGAGGAAGGTAGAATGGATATACAGCAAAACTACAGGAAAGTATGTATGAAGTACATCTAAGACGAAAGTAGAACTTTTACCAAGATTAGGATCAAATACATCGTTCTTCCTTTTTATATGTGTGATCAGATAGTTCAGATAAACTCCCTCTTTTAATTACACTATCCCAGTTTGTGAAAGAAATCAACTGTTTCAAACGGAACTAAATATTTGAACAATGCAAGAACAAAGACATTTGCAGAATAAAATGGGCTCATTTTATTGCATGACCTTTCACTAGCTGTAAACAGCCTACAATTGAAATGAACTATTAGTAAGTAGTAGGGAGTCAAGGAAACAGGATTATTATCTTAAAATCTTAGTCAAAATGTTTGATAGTGATAGCTTCCACAAACCGTATTAAACATGGCGTTCTTTGTTTGTTTATTATCCTGAGGGATTGAGAAACAACTATGTCCTGTTTCCACCAAATATCTGGGGATCGCGCTCTTAAAGACCTTGCTATCATTCAAACACAGATTTCTGGAAATATGCTCATAAAATCGAGTAGATACTCTACTTTCAGTCCGTTCTATGTACTCATAAAGAGACTAAAAATTAACCTTTCTTCACCTTGGTAACTATATAATTTTTTGCATGTGTGTGTATACAGTCTTCCTTTTTCTTTTGATTGCATCGTCTCTCCATTAATTACTTATTATTATTATTACTAGTCCCTTGGGTTCCTAGTGGAACATAGGGCTTCAGTAGCACGCCTCCAGTGATCTCTGTTCTCTGAGATCTTTTGAACCTGGTCCCACGACAGCCCAGAAGCTCTCATTTCCTCCTCACACGATCTCCTCCATGTCACCCTCGGACGTCCAACTCGTCGCTTCCCCTAAGGATTCCATTCGAGTGCCTGGCCTGACGCGTGATGTCCCCAGTCGGCCTTCTCAGTGCATGGCCAATCCATCTCCACTTCTTCCTGCATATTTGTTGCGTGATAGGTTCTTGGTTGGTTCGTTCCCAGAGTTCCTTGTTGCTTATTCTTTCTGGCCATCTGATCTCCAGTAGCGAGCGTAAGCAGTTGTTGATGAATGTCTGTAGTTTATTGGAAATGCCTTTCGTAACGCGCCAAGTCTCTGAACCATACAAGAGCACTGACTTGACGTTGGTGTTGAAAATCCGTATCTTGTTCCGCATGCTGAGTGCAGAAGATCTCCACACTGGTTTCAGGCTAATGAACGCCTGTCTTGCTTTTCCGATTCTGACTTTGACGTCCTCGTCCGTCCCGCCTGTAGTTGAAACAGTGCTTCCTAGATAAGTGAAGGAGGTTACTTCCTTCAAGTTTCTCCCGTTGACGGTGATTGGAGTTTGTTGTTGTTGTTGATGGTGGTGGTGCGGTATCTTCATCACCTCTGTCTTCTCTATATTCACCTGAAGTCCCGTCTTCGCTGCCTCTTCTATCAACTTGTTAGTTTTTGCCTGTAGATCTTCAAGTTTATGTGACATTAGACATAAGTCATCGGCGAAATCCAAGTCTTCTAGGTTCTTTTCCGTAGTCCAGCCAGCGTATCCCCCTCTTCTCGCTGCCTACTGTTTGCTGCATGATCCAGTCCACCACAATAAGGAATATCATGGGGGATAGTAGGCAACCTTGTTTCACTCCTGTCTTCACTTCGAAAGCATCACTGAGCTTCCCATTGTGAATTACTTGGCATGTGGCATCTTCATATAGTTGTTGAATGAGGCGGATAAAGGTTTGCGGTACTCCGTAGTATTGAAGAAGTTTCCAAATTACCTCTCGGTCGACGCTGTCAAAGGCCTTCTCAAAGTCGATGAAGTTGAGGCAGAGAGCTGATTGCCATTCTATGCTCTGTTCTATGATGATGCGAAGCGTTGCAATTTGGTCCGCACATGATTTGTACTTCCTGAAGCCTGCCTGTTCCGGTCGCAGTTTTGAATCCAGTGCGTCTTTAAGCCTCTCTAGGATGATGCGGCTTAATATTTTACTTGGGGTGGACAGGAGAGTGATTCCGCGCCAGTTCTTGCAAGCACTCAAGTCTCCTTTCTTCGGCAGTTTGACAAGGTAACTCTTCTTCCAATCGTCAGGTACCTTCTCTTGCTTCCACACCTTCTGCAATAGTGGTGTGAGCATGTCCGCTGTTGTCTCTGCATCTGTTCTCAGTGCTTCTGGCGGTATTCCATCTGGTCCTGCTGCTTTCCCGCATTTCAGTAGCTTTATGGCGTTCAGGACTTCCATTTTCGTTGGGGGATTAATGTTCACTTGTAATTCAGCGGCTGCAGGTGGTATTTCTGGACGAAGTGCAGGTGGTGGTCGATTCAAGAGCTTCTTGAAGTGGTCGGCCCATCGTTTCCTCTGTTTCTCTTCTTTTGTAATTAAATTTCCTTCTTCATCTTTTATTGGTTTCATCTGTGTTGGTCTCTTCCCTCCCAGATAGCAACCTGGTTATTTGATACAATGTCGTCAGGTCTCTCTTACCTGCAGCCTGTTCTGCTTCACTTGCCAGTGTTTCGTAGAAGTGTCTTTTGTCTTTGCGTGCACTCTTCTTCACTTCTTTATCCAGTGTTTTATACATTGTGCTCAGTTCCTCTTGTCGCTGAGCATCCTTGCACTGGTTTATCTTCTGTTTCACCATCCTCCTCTCCTCTATCAGCTTCCAGGTATCCGTCGAGATCCATTCCTTGTCTTCTTTCTTCTTCCTTCCTAACACTGTTGTGCAGGTTTCTTTCCACATAGCTTTCAGAGACTTCCAGTGTTCTTCCACACAGGTTTCTTCAGGGATGTTGCTCAATGTCTCCCATTTTGTCTTGATGGCTGCCTTGAAGATCTCCTTTGTAGTTTCATCCTTCAGTTTCCGAGTGTTGTACTTGAATTGAGGTCTATCACCAGCTTCCTTGAAGGCTTTCAACTTGATTTGGAAGGTTCCTTGCACTAGATAGTGGTCCGAACCTACATCTGCTCCTCTTCTTGACCTTGTGTTAAGTAGACTGCGTCTCCATTTTCTTGAGATTGAGATAAAGTCGATTTGATTTTTAGTGTGTCCATCTGGTGAAATCCATGTCGCTTTGTGGATATCTTTGTGCCTGAACACACTGCCTCCAATCACCAAATCGTTGAATGTACAGAATTCTGTAAACAATTCTCCATTCTCATTCATTTCACCTAGCGCCTCTCGACCCATGGTTAGTTCTCTTCCTATGTTGTCCCCTCCCAGTTTGGCATTCATGTCGCCCATCAGAATTTTGATATCGCCAACTGACGTCTTGTCCAGTGTTGATTGAAGTTGTCTGTAGAAATCCTCCTTTTTCTCTTGCTCTGCATTATTTGTAGGTGCATAACATTGTATGATTGTGACCTTTCTTCCTTTTGAGTTGAATCTTGCTGTCATGATCGTGATGCTGGAGGAGATTGGTTCCCACTGCATGAGAGCCTTCGATGCTCTTGAGGACATCATGATAGCCACTCCCTCAGTGTGCTCGTGGTTGGCGTCTGGGTGACCGGAGTAGATTATTGATTCTCCAGTTGACAGTTTGGAGAGTCCACTCCCATTCCATCTGCTTTCGCAAATCCCAAGCACTTCGATGTGATACCTTCTCATCTCCTTTGCAATCTGGGCTGCCTTACTGGGTTCAAACATCGTACGGACATTCCATGTCCCCACGTTTACTTTCGCTTTCATCGAGAGAAGACACATCGGCCAATTGGCTTCCTGAAGGCTTTCACCAACTGGCGTCATTTCGCCTCTCCGATTCCAGCGGGGTATAAGTTTGTTTTCATTTTTTATATTTTGTTTGTGCTTTGAAGTTTCTTTAGCGGTTAGATTTGTTTTACGGGGTAGGGTTGCTAGCCCTATGCCCAACCTTCCCTCTTTACCCGGGCTTAGGACCGGCTAGTAACTAGTAAACTAGTTAACCAGGCGAGGTTCCATTAATTACTTACTGACTGTTAATTATTTAACCTATTAACTCTTAAAGTCTCTTCTTTTACACTGACTTTCGCTTGTTATCCCCCACTTCGCCCACTCCACAACTCCAGAATTTTTTATCTCATCAGATATAAATTGCCATTGATTTTGACTAAGATTTGTAACTAATAATCCTGTGTTCCCTTGACTCACTACCTTATTGTTAATCCTGGATTTCAAATCTCCATTTATTTCTATACATATTTAAAGTGTTATGCCATTATTACTATTAATACTTCATTTCAAATATAGGCTGTTTGCAGCTGATGAAAGGTCATGCAATAAAATGAGCCCATTTTATTCTGCAAATGTCTTTGTTGTTGCATTGTTTAAATTTGTCAAGGGAACTAAATATATGATATAACTAAATATGAATTCACTTCTTTTTATCTTGGATTTAATCCTATGCTTAGCATAGAAAGAAAAAGGGAATTACAGCAAAACCTCACTTTATTTTAATTCTGAAGCATATTAGATAACATCTACAGCTAACGGATTGTATCAGACTGGAAGATCTTAAAATTCAGTGGTGAAAGGAAAACTATCAAAAGAGTTTCTAAGTCGGATAAGACAAATGTATAGTACTTCCGAGTTTTGCACTGTTCCCATAAATGTTTTTTTATGAGTATACATGCTTTCGAATTACACATAAATTTCAGCTGGTTGTTATTCTCATGAATCATGATACGTGCACAGATAGCATAATTGACTACCCAATGAAAAAGTTAAGCAGAAATCAACAAAACCATGGAGGAAAGTATTTTAAACACAGCGATTATCACTACGATTACTGAGAGAACAATACGCTTACAACGGTTCACAAGTACTGCTCGAAAAGCTAATATGCATCGGCGAGAAGGTAAATGAAATAAGTTTCGAAAAAAAGGAACCTCAAGGAAGGCAGCTAAGAATAATTTAAATACGAAGTTCTGCTACATGAATTTCCACATAATAAATGCTGAGGTTGGAAAACCGTGAAAACGCAAAGTAACATGAGATCTCGGGGGAAAGTCAACTGATTCTAGCTGCCAAACTTAGGAATAACACAAATATGCGAGATCAACAGTGAGGAAACGACTTGACAGAATACAGGAAATAACAAACGAGGAACGATAGAGCGGCTACAATTTGATAATGGTAAATAGCAGATAAGTTTCAGTCTATCATGCAATGTCAGTTGAAACGAGTTTAGGATAGAGAAAAGTTAAATATGGTCAAAAAACATGAAATCAGTTAATGCAGTCTTGCACTGTTGGTCTGAGTTGTGTAGGGAAACATAGACTTCTAAGTTTGGGTTCATGTAACAACCGAAATCGGTAGTTAAAAACTATGTGCGATATAACTTGGAATTTATCTCAGTGGCACAGATGTATCGACACATTATCATAAATTTAATTGCTATACCCATCTCGCTACTGTTTCGTCCGTTTTTACGACTTTCTGATACTTTTGATTACTTCCTTGCATATTCCCATACTTTTCATTTTGGTGTCACGTTCTAGCTTGATATGGTTATATGAGATTTTGCAACTTGGACCATAATGCAGTAATGCCAGATTATGTTGATAATAACTGGCAAAGACACTGTAATCTCAGGAAAACCTATAGTTCGTTGCATCAGCAGTCACTACATCTCAAATTAAACCTACTCCACGAAAAAAAGGATCTCTAGTTTGATAGTGGATCAGTATGAGTGGTAGTACATTCTATCACGTGAGTAAGTATAAGTTCATAACCCCATCGACTGACATAGCTTTTTTGTCTATCAATATTTGCTAGCAGTAGAGAAAGCGAAGTATACAACTATGGTATACTGTGCAAAGTGAAAGCTGATATTCCATAATAAACACATATTATAAGAAAACCATAGAATACTGGATGTTAATATGACTAAAAATGTTATAGCAAACAAATAACATCACAACTGCTTCAGCGTTTAAAGTTTATCTGCAAAGTGAAAAGAAACTAGCTGAAAATAGTGACGTTTTGCCTTTTCTGTACTGTAGAAGTTATTCCCACGTTCATGGAGAAACCGGAATTATTAGTTAATGGCTATAAATATACACACTTATCCCTTTCTTAGTAATTTACGATTCACAATTCTAGTAATATTTTATTATATTCTCTAATAATGCAAAATCATCTTCATCACTTTATCTCAAAGATTATTTCTACAATATTATGTAGCTTCATAATCCAACCAGTCACTCATGTTGGTTTCTCTGATCTTTTGCTATGAATCTTCATGTTAAATAACATTTGTGATTTTTCGATACCAATTATAAATTCTAATCTTCATTTAACCTGTTCTTTGTTATTAGGTTTAATAAAACGATGTTTGTAACTATACAATATAGTGGGACAAATCGCGAAAAACTGCTGTCATATAAATGTAGAGAGTAAAATCCACAAAAAAAGCATCTCAGGTAAATTCCATTTCTTTCAAAAGATTTTCCTCAGCTGCATACGACCTGAATAAATAAGTTAATAATCTCTATAAAAAAATCCTTTATATGGAGCGTTTTTAAGATACCGGAGCAATATTCGCTGCAAAACTACATGGAACCGTCAGTATTCAAACTTCGACAGTTTCTGCTCAGTCAGGTTTAATGAGGATGCTAGAGCGGGAAGATTATGTTCCCAAGAAAAACTGCAAGAATTTCAGCTAATCGAACAACGTCTACATAATGGTTATCCGATGAAGTTCGTACACATGTGCTGCAAAAGCAAGAAGACAGCTGGATGTATCACTGTTAGAAAGAAACCAGTATTTCTTACGTTGTTATGATGTTGCGACAACAATCAGTAGATGAATTAGGGGTGCACTATGAAGTGCACTGTATCAAACATGTCCAACTACGCAATCCAAACTATACAAAGTTCCAACTCTTGTTAATACTAACTGTAGTTATCAATTCACGTGTACATGAGGTAGCACGTACATGGGGAAGAACGGAGAGTCGGTTGTCTACCAGGATTTTCGAGCATATCGCAAAGGGTCGATGTCTCAGAGGTCTGTCCTCGTTCAACAGTGCAACAGCTCATCAATCATTTGATATGGGACGTCAAGTAGATGCGACGAAGTCCTTCATAGTAGTCAGTAGACAAAAACCTCGCACCTACTTAGGATTGCCGAAGTCATAACTATCCGGCGACTACAACCGGTACTATGCACTCAAAGAAGGCGGTTACCAATTTATTATTGCCCTGCTAATTAGTGATTTTTCATCCTCTCATCTTAACCAAAATATTTCTAATACATTAGTTTTGTGCTTATTTATATCCATATTCACACTGATTATGATTTCATCATTATCGTATGTTATTATTACGGTAATTTCATCTCACCCAACTATCATTTTGTCAACATAATATTTTCAATTTAGAAGTTTGTGGGGATTTGCTGGTTGATTTCAGGCTGGTTATCATCAAGGACTAACATCAAGTGGAGAAACACTGTGAGCACTGAACAGCTGTTTCGTCCTAGTATGGGGGTCTTCAGCAGTGAGCAGCCATGACTGCGACAGGGACCGAGCCCAGGACCTTCAGGTTCTGCGATCAGCACGTTACCACCAAGCCACTGCGTTGGAATCCAGTGTTCAACATTTCCTATTTCTGTCAGTTCACAAAATAGCGTGACCCCCATCCAATGTCGTCGTTGAGTAACTGTCCTAACATCCGATTTCATTAAACCCATCGGTCACGACTTCTCACTAGAACTTCGGGAATCTCATCTACAACATTACACGAAATAGCCGTTCAGTGCTGTCAGGTTTACAATGTTTCTCCAAGTAATCTTTTCATATGGCTGTCCAATGCTTTCCGCTTACTTCCAATATCATCTCATTCATTCGTGAACATTCCTTACTTTGCATTAGTTTGACTGAATTCACTAGCTAAACTTTCCTTGTGTCCTGAATTATTATATTTTCCTGACCTTTAAAACACTAACCGGTATTTTAAAAACGCTTATTTAAAGTATGTCAATATTCGTTATAGCGATTATTTACTGATTTATTCAGGATGTATGCAACTGAAGAAAAACCTATGAAATAAACGATTTCATTTTATCCTGCAAACGGTGTTTTCAATGCATTTACAAGTTCATAAAGGGGAGCACAAAATGTATGGTATTCCATTTATCAACAGTAATTACACAGACATCATAAAAGCATAACTTGCTAAATAATAATCAGAAACCATACTTGAAATGAAGATACAATAATTGAATTGTTTAAATCTTTATGCTGAATCCATGCGGCTTCTGCTTGTTCCCTACTAGACATGTACTCAGTTTTCAATTCATTCTGTGTAGGCTTTGCACTGTTATTCCGTTCCGAACGAGCCTTTAAACAAATAAAAGCGAAACATAAGAGAGAAAAGCATAGTTTGTAGGCATTTTGCAACTATTAGACCGACAAAAACGGATCGAACAATCATTTTCTTAGTATTTAAAACAGAATTTTGAAAGTTGAAGTAAAGGCTGGATATGAACTATGGTCGAGATTATAAGTCCTAAATACAACCTATTTGTATGCTTTTACACACGTGGTGGTAGATAGATATGTGAAAATAAGTAGATCCGAATGCCATTTGTTTGAATTTCACTGTTTCTTCTACTGGAACTGTGGATCATTGATCTAGGTACCTAACTCTCAACCAGTAATTCACGGTTTTGGACCAGGCTCTACCTATCGAAGTTTGGACAGTGAAGTAGTTTCATTAACCCTTATACGTTAAGTAGTGCTCGTTACACATTGTTTCTGAGTTGCACTTACTTTTCTCTTCAAAATCACACTTTTCTTTGTTAGAAATAGGTTCAGGTGAAAAGTAAAATACGCGATGAAAAGAAACAGATTTTATTGACCCAAGTGATAGTTGTTACTTTGAACTCGTGGTTGATGTTGCATATCACAACGATCTAACTAAATATGTTTACCAAGGTCCTACCATGTCAAAAAGAAAGGTTAGATAGTGATGAAATAAACAGCAGTTGGGTCCACAGTGTAAATAAATTCCCCTGTTGTAGGGGTTCAAGGGCTAAGTCGTACTACTGGTAAGATGCGATATGAGAGTAGTAGGATGATTCCTGCAAATACCCAGCAACCCATGCTGATTATGCCTTCCTAACGGGAAGAGAGGGGGTTGGGAAAAAGGGTTCTAAAATAGCACGTCTCTTAAGGCCTTTCGATGACGGCGACATAGATTTTTCTAGCTTGAACGTACGACAGTTAGTTTCAAGTTTAGAAATTGACAATAGGTTCAGTGTGGTCGGTGACAAGCAAACATCCTTTGGGATCTGTGTTTGACCACCACTATTAATAACACAAAAAGAAGATTTCAAAGATATGTGCAGAAATATGCAAAGTATCAACCGCTCTCATATCATCGTCAGCACTCAATCCCTGTGTGATCGTTATCGACATTTTATATCTTTGCCTTCGAATCTTTCTTCACGATCATCTGGTAACAATTCTACGTGGTATCGGATTGCCTATTAATTGCTTAGTGTGCTGTGCTTCAGGTCACTGAGTCCCACTATGCGATTTTGAAACATGGTCACTTAAGAACGGCATGAGAAAGCTCCAGGTGTTTGACCATCGTATAGACCATGTGTCATGTTGTCATAACGTCAGTAATGTAAAACGTTAGGTCGAAGAGGAGTGTTGGTTGATAAGGTCACAAACCTTCGTCAACGCAGGTGGCTGGGGTTACGTTACACATGTCTAGTCACCATCTAACTCATGGTCAGACTAAAACACCATATCAGTCTATGAAGTCTCTGACAGTCAGTTTCAACCACATAGGAGAATGCAAACTTCTAGGGATGGATCCACGTGACAACCAAAATCGGTAGTTAGTGTCTCTAAACGATATGATAAGGAACCGATCTCAGTAATGGACAGGTACACATTATCTCTGTCCAAATCATAGCATCAACTTACCTTTTTCAGTTCATCTTTCTTGTCTTTATATGATTTTTTGTGATTTTTGACTGTTTGTTCACTGTTTTTCTCTTCCATCTCGCTGCCTTGTGTCTTTATACGCTGAGGTGTGACAACTTGGATTGTTACACATTACGTGTACATACCAAGTGACCGATATTCCTTTTATGAGCCAAGAACATTTTGCCAGGAAAATCATCTTATAGTATTTCTTCATGGCTATTTTTATAAGCTTTCTTTCGATCTTTTAATTATTGTCATATACAATACCACTATTAAGTAACAGTTTTCAAACTGAAAATATGTTAACCATGCACTTCATCTAAATGGCTTTATTGCGTGTTTGCAATTTACTATGCGTTGTTATCTTGTAAATCTCATATGACAAACGCATGAAATGTGAGCAACTACATAGTTGAATGAAGAATTACTAATACTTGTTTCCTAGTAAGTGAATGCCTCAACAACCTGTGAATTCCTTTAACTATGAGAAACATTGGTTTTTTCGATGAGTATACAAAATCATGAACGTGATAAAGTTGAAAGTTATTTTCCATTATCAACAGTGTTACACTTCAGTTTGCTATCTATTAAGTAGACTGATGACAGAATAGTTGTAGAAGCTGCCGAAAAACTACAGATCTTTCAAAATAAAATGACTATTTTTCATAATCTCATAATATAAATTCATGTTTAAACAACGATTTCCATTTGCTGTGGGATTGCCTATAAACAGTAGAATCAGAAAGGTCAAAGTAGCTTTTAGAAAGGTGCACATATCAAAGAAGCTTCCACATGTTACAATTGAAAAGACAAAAAAAATCAAAGTACTGAGAGGAAACACAGGTTATGGTTGTAATGCTAAATTAGTGCATGAGGCAGTGAAACCTGATAGACTAGAGTGATCGGAAAGCTACATTTCACAGAAATAAACCTACTAGAATAAAGCATGGAATTATTACTGAATTTTAATATGGGAAAGATACCCACCAAGAATCGTTCTTCTTTCAGATTACTGAATTTACTCACAATAATTTTGAGCTTTGTAAGGAGAAATGAGCTGGCTGAATGTTAAGATATAAACAGAAATCAGTATGAACAGTAAAACATTCAGTTGATACCAGTGATGCAGAGATACTGATTCTCCTTAACGCTCTTTTAACACAGCAGGGTACTGTACCTAGCAACCTGTATTCATCGGTTTTAGTATAAGTCATTTATCTTATCGTAAACTGAACGTCGATTTTGAGAGAAAGGCATGAACCAATAAAAATCTACCAAAAATGTATAGCAACCTTAATTACAACAATTCAGATCATTACAGGGAAGGAAAACGGTGAAGAGAAAAAGCGAAGAACAAAGTGGTGTCGATAGTGATCAAAGACTTGAACAAATAGATGAAAAAAACATGTCACGAATGCAATACAATGTACGAAATAATACCATTTTGTGCAAGCAAATAGGACACTGTGATAGACTTTCAGCTACATCACCTACAGTTTCAAACTACCGATTAAGATTTCCCAACATATAGCAACTAAGAGTCCTACAGATTCTAACTAACACTAGATCAGGAAGGGGTATAAACAAGGTGGTATAACTGCGTATCACTTTAAATCGTCATGGGATAGGAAGCGATGATTGCGAAGATTCCTAGCTCAGAATAAGGATGACGATGATGGTTTGATGTTCTCTGACCTTTGTTATTTTGTCGTAGATGTTTCGTTACAAGAGTTCCTGGCATCTTCGGGATTTTTTTCAGGCGGTTTACCTACTTGATCTATTACTATTCTATAGTTGACGTCAGCATTCATCGCATCATGGTCCCAATGAACGTTAGTAATTCTTTGAAAGCAACAAAAATCGGATAATTATCACCTCTGAAAATTTCAAGTTATCCATGAGGACACAGCGAATTACAGCGTAATAAACTTAACTTTTCTTAGAAATTTGCTCTCTTTACTTGTACTACAGGTGAATCTGATTGGTGAGAGCTAAATGCTATCTGGTTGCTTTTAAAGTACAAAGACATAAAATAAGCCAAATGACGTAACAATGCTTAAAAAAGTGGTACTTACGATAATCCTCTCATCAATCGCCGTATATTTTATAGGGTAAAATCAATCTAAACAATAAGAGTTGATTACATAGGATTAGAATTGTACACTGAAAATAAGTCCTAGTTTATAATACAACAACTGCCCCACCAACGTCAGGATTCTACGCTAATCTGACTGCCAGCAGTCTTAAAGTGGAAAATCCTAACCAATCATAGTGAAGATTATCCTTTAAAAAAGATTAACAGACAATCAATAAATCATTAAAAACTCACTTCGTTAAGGTCTTCATGAAGACCATCCAGCAGAAAGAGAAGAAATTCTAAGCTATCTTGTTGATCATTACTTGAAAATTTAGCTTGATGTTTGGCAACCGCCGACTAGAAGAAAAGGAGAGTAGGAAATATCCATCAGTAATTCCTTGCACACAAGGACTATGTAGACTAAAACAATACTGGAAATTGAATAGTATCTTAAACACCTAAAGATTCCCATAATATTAATAAAAGGCAACAATCTATACGAAGGTTTTTCTCGATAAATTTTTATCAGGTTCTACAAGCATAAAATGGACTTATAAAGAGTAAAATTCGGTCAAATTAGGGGCAATTACCTCATCCAAATCGAGCGAGATTTAGGAAATGTAAAAATTTGACCTTTTTTCCCTAATTTGCCAATATTTAGATGACATATATACAGATGAATAAATGTGATGGTGAACGAAACGTCGATGAATAACGAAGTTTACTGAAGGTCAAGGGGGGAGTAATGTTTTTACACGATCTTTCTGAAAGCACGGTCCGGGTTTAGTCATTCGTATTGCAACAGCTTCCGCTTTGTTGAGCAGACATTGGCGAGCCATGCGTGATATTGCTTTTCGGAATATTATCTATGACACTGAAAGCGTTATTTGTATATACATGATACCCTAGGTCTACTAGATGCGCAAGGATGAAACTTTTCGCCACTCTCGCTTCGCCTTTTCTGAACCAAGTCAGTGAATGCTCTTATATTCCCGAGACGCATCTGCCTAATCGTATGCAAAGGAGCAGTTAAAATAATATATGCAAGATGAAGAGATAAGATAACATAAGCTATCATTTAGTCTCGTACTGAGCGTTGATCGACTACCGAAAGATATCCAAAGCCGACCTGCAACAAAGGACCCATTGACTGTTCTAATCAGGCGTTATGATAGGTATGATGTCTCGCTTAAATTGCGAACGCAGAAGTGAAGGCTTCTTCTCCACTGTCATCAATTCTCGTCTAGGACCAATGTGATTAATGTTAGTTTTGTTGAAATAATCTGGATATCCGTTTTTACATAGAACATCATGGATACAGAGTAGTTTTTGGTCCACACACCCCTTGGAACTTCTTGTCATTAGCACACCAAGCAACTGTGTCAAATCATTGATTTCATTTTCATACGTAAAATGAACTGATAGATGAGCAATGTTGAAATGCTTTGAAATAGAATCCATGCACGGAAAATTATCAATAGTTTCTTAAAAGTCAAATATGAACGAAGAATATTCTTCTCAATAACTTCTCATCAGGTTCTACAGTTATAAAATCAATTTCTTTAACATATTAATGGCCAGAATATACGACACATGCATTTACGAATGGGTATGGGATTATAATTAATATTCGACCCCCCATTTGATCATCCACAATCTCAAAAAGTCAGATTCTAATTCCATACCCATTTCTAAATGCATTCGCCATAAATTCTGGCGATTAATGTTATGTTAACGAAATTGATTTTATAACTGTAGAACCTGATGAGAAGTTATTGAGAAGAATATTCTTCGTTCATATTCGACTTTTAATATATAAAATGGGAATTTTTAACTGTCTAGAGTAGTATTTCTGTCTGACTTACGCTTGTAAGCTTCCCGTTAGGGGATAAAATATATTGAATAACGAAAGGAAGTTTTTTGATACAAACTAGGATTCAGAGTTAGAAAATAAACAAGCGACTGTGGAAATAAAAATGACATGGTCACGACAGAAGAAAAAACTAAAGTAATTAATATTATACTTCTATATTTTATGACCTTCAGAGTATCTCGAAAAAACGGTGAAAGTAGACAGTATGTTGCCAACAGAAGTAAAGTGAGGTACTAGTTCAAAGCAAGAACTTTACACGCCTTAAAGTCAAAAAGTCGTTTTCAAGCATAAGCGTAACCAATACAACTAGTCTAACTATGAACACCATATCATACGTGTATTTACAAAATTAGCAAAGTAATGCTTTGCATTGTGTTAATATCGTTCAAAAAACCAGATAAAGAGGTCACAGATTTTTCTTGGTTTGTATATCTACAACAAATTTAAACGTATATATAAAATGCGCAATTTATTTTACTATGAAATTTACATAGATTAAGTTTTATTCAGAAAGACAACACTTAAGATCAAGCGTACCAAACAGAACAAAATTTAATAAAAAATAAATAATATCGTGCTAATTAGGTTCATGCACTACGCTTCAGATCAGACATGGTATGTGATGATTAATGGTACCACCAGTGTTAGGATAAGAAAATAAGCAGGTTGAAATCACAGTCTATCTTGGTATGATACTTCCATTGAAGGAACGGATTATTTAAAGTAGTACTAGTTCACAAAAATACTGAATTCCGATTTGTGAGATTAACAGAAGTAGTAACCTGTCAGTCGAAGAAAACGAGGTGTTGAAAATCAGGAGTAAATCTGTGGACCACCTTATTCGCTACTGAAATAACCAAATGGGTTTTTTTCATATCACCTGAAAAGTAGTATTTGTAGGGCAGAGGAAATAAATGAGTCATTTCAATAGTTCATAAGATGGTTTTAAGAGTCATTCAAAAATTGACTAATGATACATGTTTGAAAGATAGGGTGTGAGACCACAACTAGTCGATGAAGGACTGATTTTCCAGACCTAGGCATATACGAGATGGAACTAAAATCTATGATCCACTGGTTGAGAGTCAAATGAGTGATATGCACTGATATCTGAAGCAAGGTAACTACTGAGGCATTGGTCTAAGTCTTAGTCTGGTCTTCTTCCAATCCTGTACAACAGATAACATACTCCTGTTCGATGAAGCTGACAAGATGCAGAGTTTCCTGGGCACCTTGAGAAGTAATTTGAAAATCTTTGGGATGGATCCTTGCCACTTAAATGCAAAAATTTACTCCGGGAATGGTCTTCACCTGTACTCCAGTTAACAAGAGGGGGTGAAGTGGCTGAACACTTCACTTACTTGGGAAGTCGGATTACCTAGTGGTTCAGTGGCCATGACTTTTGCCGACATACGCCTTGTGTGGCGCTGCCGTGACATTCGAATGTCCGTTAAGGGTCAAGTGTACTGTGCTGAAGATCGCTCCGTTCCACTTTATGACTGCGAAACATGGTAATTAAAGGGAGAAGATATTAGAAGGTTTCTGGTGTTTGACCACTGTTGCCTACGCAGCATAGACAGTGTTGTGATGTCACTATGTCAGTAAAGCAGAAGTCAGATGTAGAATTTTAGGGAGGAGAGGAAAGTCAACTGATAAGGTCATGAACCTTCACCAACCGAGATGGCTGAGATATACGTTATGCATGCCTAGTCATCGTCTACCTCGTCGAGCAATGTTAGCTGAAGTAGGTTCAGGATGGAAAGCTCGGGGTGGCCAGACTAAAATATGGCATCACTGCATGAATTCCTAATCTGTTGATCTGAGCTGTGTCGGTTGACCTCCACCCGACAATATAAACCAGTAGTTGGAGACTGTACGTGATTTGGCCCAGAATCGATCTCATTGGCTCAGATGTATCTTCATTTTAATGGTAATATTGAACTCAGTACCTTCTTATTTCGCCTTCTGCTCTTTTAACAATGTCTAGTGCTTCTGACCGTTTCTTCATCATTGTTTTATCTTTCATCTCATTGCTTTGTTGCTTAATGTGCTGATGTGAGGTATCACAACGCAGACCGTTACGCAATAATGGCTGGTCTCATTGATGATAATGATGATGATCGAATCGATTCAACTCTTTAAGCATTTCGAAAGCATATGAAACGAGAAACTATTTGTGCCTGATCACAGTGTTAGTGTAATGTGCATCTTCACAATTGTTTAAGACAGATGTAATTAAACTGAAGAAATTTATGCTCAACTAGTAGAGGGGAGGAAAACGTTAATCGGTGTTAAGTTTGATGAATTGATACAAGATTTTTAGAGATATTTAAGAATCCATTCACGATTTACAATCCCGTAATACTTAACGAAACAAGCTCAAAATCAGATGACCTGTATAATCTTCAATTCTGTGTAGGTTTCAATATTTTATTGATGTAAGAAGTAATCTATGAAATTTTTCAACACCCATTCAAAATACAAATTTGGAATAATATGGGCATGAATCATTAGTAGATAATGCTCGGTAGGTGAAATTAGAAGTTAACATGTGCTGAAAAGGTGTTATTCTTACACAGTGAAGGCAGTGGAAACAAGAAATATAAAAGACTTTTTAAAATATCATAAAATGGTGTTAACAAAAACCTGACTACCAGTACAACCATGTGGCGTAACTTTTCCGCCTGTAAACCGCTAATCGTAACACAACTTGTTCGATTGTAGGAGCCATCTATACACCGTTTGTATGCTAAACAACATCCGAAAAGTTAGAAAGTATTGATACTCGGTGGTGATTGAAGGTGAAATGAAAATTTGGGCCACAGCGGGATTTGAACCAGCGACAATCGAATTTGAAGCCCGGTGCTCTACCAACTGGGTTACAAGGCTCGACTGCTGGTCAGTTTTTTTCTCATTTCACTCCAATCACCAAGGGTTTTGCCTGATTACCACTTGATCGTACTCACACTGGCTGCCCAGTCACAGCTTCTTATCCCGATCCAAATCTAACTGAATTAAAGAGGGGGAGCATCATATTGATTATCATTCTGATGATCTGAAATAGCCGTGGTTTGGCAGACTAGTAATGATACTGAGTGACGAAAACCGGTGGTCGCTGGTTCGAACTCCACCGCGGTCTAAATTTTGATTTCACCTTCAGTCATCACAGCCAGTATCAATACGAGTCTGCCGAACCACGGCTATCTCAGATAGTCAAAATGATGAAAAATGGAAAGTAAATGAAGGTAAACAGAGACAAAGGGCACAAAAATAAGATCACATTTTCGCTTACTCTGAATTTATGCAATTCAGTGTCTTGATTTGGTTGATTATATAAGGCTGTGAGCAGTACTTCAAAATGTTTAACAATTTCTCCGCCATAACCAAGAAGATTAGAAACTACAGCTTTACGTTCATGAAATCCATCAAGGAAGTAGTGGACCAATGCTCTGGTGTGAGCCAAACACTGTACCACAGAATTCATATAGCATGTATTGCCAAGATTACGTAGGCCATTGGTACGCGTCTGACGAATAGCCAAAGTTGTGCAGGCAGCTGGGCCAACTACATCCACTCAAATGAAATAATGGCCATAATTAGTACTTACCAAGTGTTTGGGATACAACAGTCTATACAAAATAAAGTTTTATTAATGTGCCTGGGAGGCCGAGTATTCGCATAATTTCTCACATAATAAATGTGACTCACAGTCCAGTTCATAAATATGTACCAGATCAAGCGGATTAATCGAAAAATGGAGTGTTACTGAAAACAAAAAGTGAACTGGAAAGCTATTCAGAAAATATCTGATATTGGATAGCTAGATAATAACTTTAAGTTCCACCTTAAATTCACCAAATGAGTCAACCTAGATTCCAACAACTATTTGTTATTGCTAATGAAATATCCTATAATGATGGTTCCAAATACCAAGAGATTTTCTACCACTAAGTTACAGAATTACAGTAGTTAACTCCGTAGGAAAAGCCATCAGCTGTCGCTGATGATTAGTTACTGAAAAAAATTCTATGGCTTTTGTTGACCATTTATAGGAATGAAAGTATATTCAATCAATGAGATGTGAAGAGAAAGGTAAGGCGTTTAGAATTCTGTTTCTGTCCACCACTCTATATTATCGATAAAAATGCCTAGGCATTTCCATGGTAACTCATATCCTTCCATTTAATGTACCGCAGCAATAACGAACTCAGTATATGTGACTTCATTTAGTTTGAACCAGACATAATAGTCGATGATGGATAATTTTTTCACCTTTTAGAAGAACAGAGAAAAGGAATCAATAAACTGAAGAATAAAAATGATAATTTGGGAGAGGATAACGAGCTATTGACTCTACTGACACGATGAGATTCCTTCGATACACTATCGGAAGTTTCTGACTTTCAATGCATATTGTGGGGCAAAACAGAGCTTTCATCTTGAATATCTACGAACAACCCTTAAACTTCATGGATTAGTACGATGGTTTATAACCACTTTCAATGCAACTCCTAATCCAGCAAGTATTGTACATTACTCTGTTTAGCAATTACGTTTTTGAAAACTTTACATGAGTTTCTTGTTACGATATCTGTAATAACCCCGTCGTCACCAACTCTTATAATCTTGTCGTCGCTTGTGATATTCTTGCAGTGACTACTTGACATACTTCAAGTTACATATATGTGCAGATACTTGGACAATAAATCTTCAGATTCTACCCTTTGATGATCGTTCAGTTTCCTCAATAAGTGGAGAAGGCAGCAATATAACGAAGGTGTATTGCAACGTCAAAAATATGCACTAAATACAAGGGTTTTAATTTATTTACAATGGTCTTGGCTATTTCCAGGCCTTTCTAGTTTTGAATTTCGTTAATTTTCGTCCTTTCAACCGATCTGATGTTCTCACGTGCTTTCTCCCAGAACTGCTGGGCGAAAAGATTGGTTGTAACAAACTTCAGTGATTTCGGACTTTTCATGCAGATTATGGGAGTCTTATTCCTCACTATAACAATATTCTACTAGCAAATAAGATTTTTAAAAATGTTTTCTCTTCATCAACCAAATTATTCACAAAAATACTTGATTCACTCTGTCATACTTTATTTCACATCCCGTACATATAAAAGTACGAATAATGACAGAATGACTTATCAACCTTCATTAGAATAACGTGTTCTAATAGAATACTGGTCTTAGTGATGTTCCATAACGATATTTGATTATAGTGCAACTAATTCTCATATAATTCACTTTCGCAGAGGCTTCTAATGGATAATAGACCTATCCAGTAGTCGCTTTCCAAAATACAACGATAAGACTACTTATCGATACAAAAATCTCTCATGCTGCTAAACCTCCTTGAGACGTAATTTACAAGTTACTTAACTGTTGAAATAACCAACCAGGTGGCGGAATTACGTCTAGCATGGCAGCATTTTTGGAAGATAGGAGAATTTAAGCGATTATTTCAGTTGTAGCTAGAATGATCTTAAAAGTCACTCTGATTTACTGAATACCGAGCTTGATTGCTACTCGAACTGAGTAATAAAATACATACCATTCAATAGCCGACTATATAAACTTGTATCGGGTTCAATTGCATTATATTCCATCGGTAAATCACCACAATATGAAGTTAAAAAACAATTGAATACTGATAAAGTCAAAACATGATACATAGATTACGTAACAAATGATGTTCATAAAACTTTCTATCACCCTGACAATTTTTTTCTTATGAAATAATTGTATTCAAGGCTGGAGACGTTTTTCAGCATTATAATGATTTTTCTCATCAGAACAACGCTTATAGATTAATGAAGCGATTCAGTGTTCAATTTTTTATAATTAATAAAATTCACCAGCTTACACTGCTGATGCAAATATACAATCAAATGTTTATGAGTAAGTGTTGACTCTTATAACGTACTTTCTAATGCAAAACTACTTGGACGTCATATTTACAAGATGGAAAAACTAATACACTGAAAATCCAGTAAAGCAGAAGCTAGAAAACTGAAAACTAGTTTACCTTTCATTTTCAGTGTTACAATTTCCTTCAACAGCTCTTTAAGTATATGAAGCCTGATTTGTCAAAGTAAAATATTAAAGCTGACCGAGTAAATTGTAAATGATAACCCTCAATATGTAAATACTACTGTTTATAAGTGTTCTTCAATTTGAGTAGTTGAGCTCTTCCATTAATTAAAAACTGAATTTTTCGATTTGCAGCTCACACAATACTAAATATAGAATGAAATTGTGACTTATTAGCATATACAGTTGATTTTTAACTGATAGGCCACAAGTTCGAACCTAGCTCCAACTATCGAGGTTTAGACAGCCAGGTAGTTTGACTAATCTTCATACAATAGATGTGATTCATTACCTTGATAGGAAGTGACCTAAATGAAAATGAACATTTTAGGTTATAAGCCGTTAAGGTAGAGGTTTAGGATTTCAACCCTGTTTCGTGTCACTGTGTAGGCACGTCAAAACCTTATTCAACAACTGTGTACTTCAGCTGACCAGTGAAAATAAGTAGCCAACTTCTGACCTAATTAATGGCTTTGCTTTCTGAAGAAAAGGTGTATATAAATAATGTGCTTTTTGTCACCGGTTGGTCTTTGTGCTGTGGTTTTCGCGGCTCAGTGGAATATCAGGTTCTGAGGGAGAACAGTTGTTATCCATATTCAGTCTAAGTATCTAATTTCGTTAGTAGCGTTCTCCTATCATTCTGTCGGTTACTTCATTCATACCTACTACATGAATGTGTGCAAGGTTGCTGAGTGGATTACCATAATGCTAAATAGGACATTTTATGTTTATGAACGCAGGTTACATTCATACACTGTAGTCATTTCAAGCGAAAAAAGATTTATGCGGAAATATCCGTAATCAATGTTGCTGTCAATCATAGAGATGGTTTTTGCTAATTTATGAAAGAATTATGATATAAACAAGGCTAAATCAAGTAATTATCTGAGGTGACAATTTGCTGTCTTTCGAAAAAGATATAAATTTCATCAAACACTGCTCACCTTGATTGTTCAGAACATCTGGCTGTTCATAAACCGTTGGGGATGACTGAGAATTCACTAAATTCTTTGGTTTAGTTTCAGATGGAGGAATGTTAGGTACTGATTGTATTGAAAAACTATTTGTTGAAGCAGGTAATGGGATTTTCCATGGATCCACATATGAGTCAGTTAGTTTATTTACTGTATTTTCAACAATCTGTCCAGAAGGTTTGTTAGCTAATGGTTTATCCAAATGCCATTTTTCACGTGGATCACTGTAAACACGAGATTCTTCATCTGAATGTTCAGTGGGTAGTTTCTAAAAGAGTGAAGCAAAAGACTAAAAAATAGGTTGGTGCGGAAATTCCCATAGCCTAGTTACTTATACTACGTATCACTTATCGAAAGTTACTAGAACACAGAATATGAACTTATACACATATACGTTATATTTTTATGCAAGTCAGTTTGACATAAAGTAATCTGAAGGTTAAAAAGCCCTCCTAGGAAGGAAGTTAATACATCAAAGGTACACCAGTAAAGTCAAAATTCTGTGGTCCATCTTTAACATGATTTGGAAAAAGCAAAGTTGGTTTGTAGGTCATAACTACATATTACATTAAAAGGGAATAATAATAATTATTTCTACAGCGATAAGTAACCAAAAAAATCACTATAACCTGTCTAAAAATGTGATTGAGCATGGACAGCCTGTCGTACTATCATACTGTCATTCAGCCAGAAAAGTAAAAAAAACAGAGAGATGATATACTTTGTAAAAGACACAAACTCAGAATAAGTTGTCGACTTCCACTCGAACAATACAATCATTGTTTCACAATCAATGACAAGGAAGTTTTGACGACGCAGTTTAGAACTATTGCTACAAATCTAAGACGCCAATCAACTTCTCTAACTTCTTATCGATAGCCTTTAAAGACAATTTACCATTATTACATTTCATTCAATTAATTTCAATTAATGATTGGATGTGCATACCGATCTCAAGGAAAGACAATTTAGAACATTTTATTAGCCATCTGAATTAACGTGGTAACCATATCGTAATACTGAATATGTATATCAACCATAAGCTTACTAGATAGGGTTTGTTGATATACTTGTAATTCTCCGTTGTTGTACCGGATCGAATTAATTTACCACTGTTGGCATATGAGCTCCTATGCGGATGCTTTGGTATTCCCCGAATATTTATTCTTATAATTTACTTAGTTGTGGCTAGCAGTGGAATCCACGACGCGCATTTCGTCCTATTTGGGATTCGTCAGACGGATGTACCTGCATCGCAGTGAGGGATATTGACCCAAACTCCAAAGCGTTACCCTCCATACCACTGAGGCGCCTCTTCTACAACGTGTATTTGTTATTACTACTTGTTGATATACTTGCAATTTTCCATTTCCATATTGCATCGATAAATATTAGTAACTAACACTCGTTGAATAAAATGTCGCCATCGTGTCTCAGTGGATAACGCTTTGGGGTTTGAAGCGATAGTTTCTGGTATCAAGTCTCAGTGGAAACACCGCCAATAACTAGAAAGCAGGTACACGCAAATGATGAATCCCAAGTAGGACGAAACGTGCGTCTCGGATTCCACTGTTAGACACAACCAAGTAAGTTATAACTTTTATTTGTCTGTGCATTTAATAGATGAAAATCCGCTTACCCATACTTTATCGTCTATATTTTCATCTCTTTTCACTGAATCAGGCAATGAAATGCGATTCGATGTGCGATTAGTCGAACTAAAGAATAAATAATTAAAAAATAAAGATTTTACTATTGTACCTGCCAACTGCTTTTAAAAGGCATTCGATAAATGGTACTATATTTATCTTTTGAAGTACAATTGTTCTGCGAAATTCAAGTTTTTAGGTTTATATCTGTGCTTTTTTAAATATGTTGAAAATAAGCTTTTCCATGAAATTTATTTGCCTAAGAGCGAATTCACATATTACGTTTTTATTCACTATACGTATTATCAATATCAGAAAAACGCTGAATTAACTATGAATCTAGGGTAATTAAGAATGAAGACGAAAGTACAAGACAAAATAAGGAGTAATCGATTATTTACCTAGGACCCCATATATACGATTGAGTAAATAGACAAAACACACACAACACAGCATAAGGAAAATACTAACAATGAACGACCGACAACATTGAAAATAGTCAGCCTAAAGTTCTCAGATAATCGAGAAGGCAAAACTGAACTGAAGTGAGGTTGGACACTACAAGCACACGACATGCTGAAATATATTTGTGAATACTCGAGTATATTTCAAAATCCTTAATTGATAGTTGTTCAATACGTTGTAAAAAATAAGGCGTTAGAACAGCGAATCTGTATTGAAATTTTAACGATATACAAAAGTATCACGGTATATATATGCATTTGTAGTGACCATGGCAGTTTCCAAAACTTCATGGAAATATTTGGAGATGAATAAAATAAATCAGAAATTCGATGAGCTAATGCATTTATTACTGTTATCTTATATCAACCAACTATATTCTGTTCTGTCCACACTCTCTCTTTTCGTGTACAAAGATGTGTAGTATTTCGAATCTATAGGTCTTGTATGAAGGTTTTAATATCTTTACTGGAGGGAAAAAAATAATAAAGATTCATTGACTTATTCACGCACATCCACTTTCTAGAAATAAGCTTAAAAGGTTAAGTTCGGAATGAGTGAGTTTTCGACCATATACGATTCAGTACGTAGACCCTTGATCACCTATGAGCTCAGTAAGTTGCACATACAGTATCAAGCAGAATATCCAATACCGTCTGTAAATGAATCTAACAATTATCTGCGTAATTAGGAATCAAATCTGATAAATACCAAATGAATTTCGTGATGAGGTCATAAAATAGTTCAAGAAAAAACTCATCATGATAAAAGGGGATTACAACTCATGAGGATAAAAAACGAAGAAGGAGACATTTGATCAGTACCAGCATTAAAGTCACATACTATTTCTCAACTTCATGTTTTGGAACGTATCAAAAAGCACAGTACAGTATATGTACAATAGAACTACAATTTTCGAATATATCTAAATGAAAAACAATAAGTTCCTAACAAGCATGTCAGAACTATGTTTTACTATATAAGCGACCTTATTACTCTGAACATTGTGACTTACTGTCCATGGTCACCAATTATTCTAACCTTTGTTGTTGCTGTCCAACTTCACACATAAATAAGCTTAACATGAAAAGATTTTGGAATTTTATTTCGGAGGACTGCTTTGAAACTATTTTGACTACTAATCTGATTATCGCTGTTTTGATACCTGTAATTCCCCGTTGTTATGCTGGGCTAAATTGCTCGACCTTTGTTGACAGATGGGCTTTTATGCGGAGGCATCGATACTGACGGACAGTCAACCTGGTGACTGACGGCGGAATTTAGGACGCGCGTTTCGTCCTACTTGGGACTCATCAGCTGGATACACCTGCATCACAGAGTGATGTTCATCCCACCGAGACTCGAACCCAGTTTCCATCACTTCAAACCCCAAAACGTTATCCACTAGGCGCCACTGAGGCACGATAGCCACTTCTTGTACAACGGGTATCATCTGTGGTTTTGATACGTGTTAGATACATGAGAATTCTGACTCAATCGCAAATGGAACAATTACATCTCCAGGACTATGTCACATTAGATTAGTAGAATTCATAATTAAAGGCAAACATCACAACGACAAGATGTCGGCAATACCATTTTCTAACTAAAACGTAAACAATACTCTAATGTTATATTTCTCATTTGTAACAGTCCAATGATAATTCTAATTTTTTCTGATGGTCATCTCACAACATATCATAAACTACAATTTAAAAAGTAACTGTTGTATTAAGTAAATGTTGTCGAACAATGAATTGAGCTAACGTGGGACGTATTTCTATTCAGTCACATTTAAACCCGAAGTGAAGTGTTAGCATTTTATCACAAATTATTTCATTCACTCAAAACAATATTTACCTTACGTCACACAAGCTTGTTACATTATGTTAAAAGTGAATATATGGTATATCCAGGGAATTTTATACAGTGGTGAAGTCAAACAGTAAAAACCAATAAAGTCAATGAATAAAAGAACAACTATTCAAATCTTATTTAGGCCTACAAAATACAATAAAAGTCTGCAAGGTACAATTTTACTGTTCCTTTTGAATGCATTGTTGGTTGAAGTTGATATATTAAGTCCTGGCCTTGAGTGTTCGTTTGAGCGTGATGTCTCTTCTGCCTGTTCAGTGGTGCAATTGTTTGCCGTAATTTTTGTTGAGTGGTCTCATTTAGTCCTGATGTTTTAAGTGATGATTCTAATACAGCAAAAAAATCTGGTTTGGAGGCATCCCTTGTGTTGTAATTCAATCCTTTCTGAAGAAGTTCTTCCATTTTTGTTAGTGGTTGCTTTGGTAAATTGGCAACACAGCCATTTGATTCCTTGGTTGTAGGTGCTTCTGAGATTTTGAGCACCTTCATTCTGACAGCTTTTCTTCGTTGTTCTCTGTATCGTTTGCTCGATTTTTCAATTGCTGCCGTTAATGTTGTTATGTGTTGTGTCGTGAGCATGCTTTCTAGTTTTCTCTTTTGATTGTTATTCACGAATAGGTATTCCCGGATTCGATGATGTTCATCTGTTATCATCAATTGCACCATTTGTCTTCCACTTTGTTCAGCTATTTTCTATCCCAATGGACAGTCAATCGGTGGTCTATAACTGACATTCTTCGCCAGAATATGTTGACGTAGGCCTCAATGAAGAAAGAGTAGTGGTTCTTTTGTGGAAGCTTGTCTCTTGGAGAAGTCCTCTCATCTTCGAACAACTTAAAGCGTGTTACGCTTATTTGATTTTGAAATGGTGGAGAATAAATTGTAGCTCAGGTGGATGGTCTTGGTTGTATTGTGTTCTATGAGCTGAGTTGTTAGTTGTGGAGCTTTCATCGTCTTTCTAGATGACATCTTCAGCACTAAATTCATCTACGTATATATAGGTGAGTAAGGAACTACCTACTCCATTCTATTTCTTATGCCCACAATAAAGTCTTAATTTATCTCTAAATAAAATGTATTTTGAGTGCCTGTGTATCCTTAAGTCAGTATGCTATTTAATTTATTTCACTCACATTACTGTAAACCGAACTCTTTGAATTCCATGCGTTTTTTACAGAAAAGTTATAACTTTTGGTTTTAAAGACTATCGTTCCACTTATGGAATCTGTTAATCAGTTAACGAGTCTTTCCCCTGATTTTCGACCTTTCTTAGAGAAAACCCAATCCAAGTATATTCCGTGTGGTTATTGATCACGGAGTGATTTCAGTCGGAGAACCATTGAAAACATGTGAGCACGGGACGGCTGTTTCGTCAGCAGTGCGCACCAACAATCCCACCAGGGATCGACTTCAGGAACTCTAGGTCCTGTGGTTAGAACATCATCATTGAGCCACCGAGTCACATGAATACCAATCTGAAATCAAAAAATAAATCTCAACAAACATCTAATATGAACATATTCTATATGCTGGCAAAAGAAAGGGTTACATTAGTGACTTTCTTCGGCCTATTACAAACAACTAACATGCTAAATTTCTAATGACGACAATTGTGATGACCATACTGATTATACCACAGAAATTTTAACTGGAGTATTATTTCTAACAGAATTAATTTCAACCAACGTAGGACTACAGCAGAAACAGCTAGTCTCAAAAAAACCGTAAAAGTTTAAAACAAGTTTAAACTTCAGTTTTATTGCAAACTGATGAAATGTGTGCAGTGCAAACCATTTCTTACCTTCGGTCAAATTTTACCGGCGTTACAAGACTTTGTCCTCTATCAACCTGAAAACCAAAGATTCAAAATCAAAAACTAATCTAACATGACCCACAAGTATTTCATCATGAAACAGTGAAAGGAAGATATAGAAATAGACTGCAGTACAATTTTGCATTGCCTACACGGACAATATTTGTAATCACCTGGAAATGTATGATGAGATAACTAAAGTGATGTTGGCAATCTGAAATGATAGACCCAAAGTTTTATGCAGCGGAGCACACAATCGTTCTCCGGTTACTTTCCACTGTACCTTTAATATACCAATATTATACACTATTTATCTTGTCTTACTAAAGTCTCCTTGACTTATTTCAACTGACTCCTGGCTTATATCGACATCGTCACTTTTAAAGTAGTTTTTATTCATCATATGTTGAGACTAGTTGCAGAAACACTTGAAATTTCGGAGCAATGGACAGCTATTGCATAGTTCGCGCTATAATAGAATCACGAACCGATGGTGTCCTGAGAGACTGAGCCTAGCCCATGGTGAAACTTCTTTGATATTAATCCATCCCTCCGAAGCATTTGCTGAATAACTATTTCCCTCTCTTATTTCTAAACGACTTAACCTTTCCTCTTCGTCGTAAACTGTGTAAGATTGAATACATGTACAAATATGTCGCTTCCTGACTTGTTTCCATTAGCCTGTTTTGTCTCAAGGATAAAGTTGTTGCCTTTTTCTAACATTGGTTGAAGCATGAAATTAAAATAAAATTCAATATAAAGTGCTTTTGTGGGCTGTTTTTTCCTCATTCACGTTGAGGAGTTCGATGTTATGAAAATAACCTCCCACTCTCTTGATTGGTATTTTCTTTCCCAGTCGAAGTCAGGGGAATAGTAACACGCAAGATAGGCAAGCCGATTAATGAGGTCGTGAACCTTAGTCGACTGAGGTAATTAGGATAAGTACTGCACATACCGGGTCACCGCCTACCTCGAAGCGGTATACTGGGGGAAGTTCGATTAGGTTGAAAGAGGGTTCTGAGCGGTCAGACCAAGACATGACACCAAACGACGAAGTCTCTCACTGTTGGTCTGAGTCGTGTGGGGAGATGTAGACTGACTGATTAGTTGGGGTGCCCGAGATGAAAGGAATCAGTGGTTGAGGACTGATTGTTGGTGACATGGCTAAAAATCGGTCACAATGGTGCAGATGTATTCAATCCTTGACATTTTCTAAGGCTTGTATATTCGCACTAACCTTTACATTGAGATTTTTTATTCTCTCACACTACTTTATCTACTTTGATATCACTCTTTTTCTTTCGATCTGTTCTTTGTATACCACTGTGAAGTTTGGGAACCTGAACCGATGCACCTATGTGAGATTCTACATTGATTTTGTCTGTCAGTGTCTCCTGAGTGAGAGCTTTAATAACTGGAATCGGAAATAAATAAAACTGGTTTTTCCTCGAAAGTAAAACTTAAAATAACAGTGCATTAATCAACACACGCCAAAATAGAACGGTGAAAATAAACGGAAAATATAGAAAAAGGGAATAACTTTGCACAGTAAAATGAAGTTAGGCATAGATAGCTGTGACTAATTTTTAGCTTGGATTTGTTCGCTTCAAAATTCATTTCATACAATCTTGTGAAAGCTAACCACTAATCTATATCGTCGAATATTAGTCGCACTTTATGACCTGATATCATTTTATCTTGTTTTACGAAACTCCCTTTGACTTATTTCTGCTGAATCCTGGTAAGTGTTGACATCGTTAATCGCTACACTCGGAAACACTTGAATTTACATATTCGTCTCCGTCCTATGGCTATGCAGATGCTTACTGATATTCAAAACAGAAAAGATCAGGTTGCCGAGGAAATCTTAAGCCTAGTCTTCATCAAAATAAAAATATCTACTTATTGGAAATACTACTTGGTACTTGATATTGAGAATTGTTGGAACAAGCATCCAACTAGTTTGCTGCTAACGTCTCCCTATTTTCTGGGCAGTTTCAAAATAAACTAACCTATTAACTGACTCCTTCCAAATAATTCCATATGGACCATTTCCTACAATATGCAGATTACATTTCCTGGACGGTTGTAATGGTAACAAAAATCTAACCAATTTCACGGATTCTAGAAGCGGAGGCCAGTTACACGAGAACTTCTATTCCATCAACAACCACTTGAAATCTAAGAAATCGATTTACCTGCTGACTCAGAAGGCAACTTATTTGCTACACTGCTACGAAATAAACTTCTCTAGTGCTTCAATTCATGCGACTTCCATTAATTGGAAGACAAAAAACAGAGAATATACTTCCTTTATATTGCTGAACATTTCAACATATGTTTCATATGCAACATACCTCAATTCTATGCAAAACTGTCGCCATCAGGACGACAATTCTTCTAACGCCCATTTCTCTGAACCACAACAACTTTTTCGAATAAAATACATTTTTATTACTGTAAGTCCTAACGCTTGAAGAGGGGGGGTGCTTGAATTCATACACCCGCCTAGATTATATGACTATGTAGACACTCACTGTATCCCCTAGATCGTAAAAGTGAGTCCTATTTGATCAATGAAGCTATAAATATAAGAATTCCTGTTAAAATGGATGCTCATCTGGTGAAACATCAAACTATACAAACAAGCTGAACCTGTTGGCTATTTGTAATGCAAACATGAAGATGATCTAATTCACAACGGCTGTCAATGTACTGAAAAGCGATATATTATTGTTTATTTCATATTTGCGGTCACTTTTAGTGCTATGATAAAGATTGTTGACCTGACTTTTGTACCATCAAGAACCGCTCAAAAGTTGTCTTTTCCTTAACTGTTATCAATTTGATGAAACCCGTTTCGCTCATGTTAAATTTATAATATGAGAATGAAAAGATTTATTCATTTGCCTATCTATCTGGATTTTCACAAATTATATAAGGTTAATTGATGAGGTAAATAATACATCAGCATGCGTAACACATTGTATAAGATGATCATTTTATGTAAATGAATGGGTGAATCTGATTAGCTCACACTGACGCAGAAAACCCAGAAATCGTACGAAGTGGAGTCACTAGTAGCTGTCTAGTAGGAGCAACAGAGGATGAACGATGCAGAAGTCAGTAAACTTTCTCCGATGTGCATATAAACATTGTACGCAGCATACCACTTCGTGATAAACTCTCTACTTAGCGACTGTTTAGTTCATTCGGAACACACAAATCCAGTTACAAGAGTGCGAAATCATACTAATTTCTTAGTAATTTAAGTTTCTAGACAACCTATCCCTTGGCAGAAATAATACTCTGATCCATTTTAACATTGCACTACTGAGGTTCATTGGCGTAAGCAGCAAACTTCCACCGATTCAGAATCAGATTCACTAGATATTAGAGCAGCTGGGCATTATTAACGACCTTCACACAATTCATGTATGGTAATCGAGGTTAAGATTAATTACCACGTGTCAACTGATTTCCGAAAAGCGTATTAATTGAAGGCATTCAGGAGAAAATCAAGAATGAAACACTTACCTGAGTACTGTTCTGCTTAGGATTGTTCAGTGATGTTTCCGAGACCTGTGCGGATACCATTTTGGGAGTATACTGTACACGATTTGTAAAAGGCAGTGGTTTAGGTGGCAATGGACGTTGAAAAATAGTGTTCTTTCCATTTTGCACTCCAGCACGTCCATTTTGAATGCTTTTAAATGATAACGTAGGGTTTTTACACTCAGAAGCCAACAGATCAGCCAAGTTGACAGTAGGCAATTTTTCTTCACATTTACTTTCAGGCATATTTAAATCTGGATATTTAACTTTAGAAGCTTAAAAACAAATCAAAAATAGCCCAGATATTTTAGTTAGTTAGTTAGTCAGATGATTGTAACTGACATTTATTTAGCATTGACTATGTATCAGAAATAAACTGCAGCTTATGAAAATTAATAACCAAACGGTTATTCAGCATTAATCATAATTAACCGATGAACGGAAGAGCAATTAGATCACGCAGTCAAGCTACACAATAATGTAGTGTTTTGGGCTACGAATTGACAGGAAGCGGCCTAAATGGAATTCAACATTTTAAATCATCAACTACCAAGGTAAAAGTTTCGGATTCCAGTTTTTGTTTCATGCTACTGCATGGTCAAGAATAACCTTGTTGCGCAATCTATTCTACAGTTGACCAATCAAAACAGGCTATTTAACTTCTGACCTAGTGGTTTTACATTTTTATGAAAACTATATAAATGATGTTTTTTGTCTTCTTTACAGTCACAGGGTGATCTTTGTCTTCTGATTTTCGCAGCTCATTGAACTATAAGGTTCCGAGGGAGGACAGTCGTTATACGTATCCAGTTCAAGTGTCTCATCACGTTATTATCGTTCACGTCTTTATTACGATTCACTCGATTAATTCACATATGAACGAAGTTACAAGGAAGATGTACATTACAATGTTACACCTATTAGCACTTACGAGTCAGGATATTCATGCGATTACAATTTGAACCTGAAGCAGATAACTATGAAGATGGTGTATTTTTGAAATGAGACAGTCTAATTGAGAAACTCTTGACACTAATGTAGGTGAAATTTTTGTACGTACGAAATAGCGGAAGTGAGTCTTTAAAACTTTTTAAGAAATTTAGTCAAGATAACTTAGTGTTTATTACGACTACAAAAATATCCAGTCAAAGATCAAGTTGTAACAAAAGTAGTAAGAACATACAAAGATAAGCAAAATATAGAAGACAACTAACTTAATTCAACGTTATCAGGATAAACTTGTACTCTTATGAACCATCTTTTCTACGATGTTACCAAGAGTGCTGAGCAGCGTGAAATGAAAACTTTATAATCAAATGCCTTAACTCAGAGAATATGATGCCGCTAAAAGTCAAGTCGATAAGCACTACTTTGATGTGATGGTCAAGGTAGACTATCGCGATAACTCAACGAGAAAAACTCACCGCAAAGTTTTTTGCTTGAGATTGTATCATGTCCAATATTGTGTTGTAAATAATTTACTCTATGGCGCTTTAAAAGCTGATATTGCCTTTCCACAATGGAGAAAAATGGATGAAACAGATGACTACATTTCGCCTTTGATTCGCTGACTTATAGTGCAGATGACAACGGTCATACTTCAGTTTGATAAAGCTGTCCTGCAATATTCGAACTCTTTCTCGGATCAGGCAATAAACATCGTTGATTAAAACTTGAACACCTAAGATCCTGGGCGTATGCTCAGTTTCTGAGCCCCAAATGTAGTTGTCTATTTAGTCTGCTAGATCAATGTGGTGCACTTATGAATTTCATCTTTAGAGTATCTAGGGTCTCCTCATAACCCAACACTGACACCTTGTCTAACATTGCAGACTGAAGTAAGTGACAGCAGTGACCACTGCAAAATCCTGGAAAATCAGATAAGCACCAGTGGGTTAAAGGCTGAAGAAATCGAATCACGTATGCAAAGCCTATACTAGCTTTCGCAAACTAGTACCAATCATTCGTGATGTTATAGGGATAGGAACATCTATCCAACACTGAGTGTACTATACAGCAGTCTGTTGTGTTATACTCTACCCCGTAAAACATCATTACTGAAGGTAAAAGACACGGGAAGGTCACACATATTTAAGCACTGTTGCCTTCATACCATCGGCAGAATGTCATGAGACTACCACATAAGTAATACAGGAATTAGACATGCAGTATTGGATAAAAAGATAAGTCATTTAATGAGGTTGTAAATTCTGATCAATTGATATGACTGACACGTGTACGGTGCAGACCCAGTCACTATCTCCCCTGACATGCTATTTTTTCCGAAGCAGAGGTAGTTCCAAATTAGATTTGCTTGTTTGACGGAGTATGTAGTGAAAAAGTTTTAAGCATAAACAATTAAGTATAATCATAGCATAAGACTAATTTAACATAGAAATAAATTTTTCTGTAGCCAGTCAGTTACTGCTCGCAATCATATCACTAATATGGAACTAAGATATCTTCGATTGTTAGTGTGAACCAATTAGGGTGATACAGGCTTCCAGGTTGGGGCTGGCATGATAACTAGAATACATGGTTAAAAAGTGAGAATCGATTACGATGGCGTAGGTTCACTGTGATCGCTATGTCATACTTAATCATTTGCCTTCTTCTTTTCTTTTGTTCTGCAGTTCTTTCTTAAACTTTTGACAATGCTGCTCCCATTTCTTTCTTATTCAACATGTTCCTTCATATACTGATGCACTGATGAGAGCTGCAGTAATTTGGAACATTATGTAGTAATTTCAGGTTATGTGTTAAAATGGATTAGCTTAAATGACAGGCACTACCACAATTTAAAAAAACCATTGTTATATTTACGACTTAGCAACTACCCTGTTTATGCACCCTTTTCCTATAGCGGATTATTGGGGGCCTAAATAACCCATTTATAAAGAAACATGTTAGAATCCTTGAAAAACAAAAAGCTTTCTGAAATATGTAGGCTTTCCCGTTAGTAAGTAGAAATGTTCAGGTGGTTTTGGACACCACATGATTTTGAACACCTGACTTCGATTTCGTTAGTCACGTGTAACATATAAAATATCTAGCCACTATTCCTACGGAACAATAAAATTATTACACTGAATGAACACAAAAATCAAGGCAATATACAAAAGACTTGTATATCATAATAACATGGTGACGAATTTCCATAGGTTAATAGTAGAACCAAATAAACACAAAATACCATTTATTCTCTTTTAAAAACAAAGAGACTGCAACCTAACGAAAAACAATTTCTATCCAGAGTAATAGACAAGAACAAGCTCAACAATGTCACTTTTTATTTCTGGAGACTTCTATCTGTAACAGAAGCAGCATTACTTTGATCACTAGGTTGGAGGGCTCCTGACTAATACGAAGAGAGTTTCGGTACACCATATAAACTGGGTGATGATTGAAAAGGTAAAACTACTAAGGACTGAATGTCAATGTTAGTCGAATTCCACAGAAATCAAGCAAAAACAGGAACAACTAACTAATTCCTAGCCACTCATAGATAAGTGAAGACAAATTCAGGTAAGGACTGACTGACAAAATCAATGTAGAATCTCACATAGGTGCATCGGTTCAGGTTCCCAAACTTCACAATGGTATACAAAGAACAGATCGAAAGAAAAAGAGTGATATCAAAGTAGATAAAGTAGTGTGAGAGAATAAAAAATCTCAATGTAAAGGTTAGTGCGAATATACAAGCCTTAGAAAATGTCAAGGATTGAATACATCTGCACCATTGTGACCGATTTTTAGCCATGTCACCAACAATCAGTCCTCAACCACTGATTCCTTTCATCTCGGGCACCCCAACTAATCAGTCAGTCTACATCTCCCCACACGACTCAGACCAACAGTGAGAGACTTCGTCGTTTGGTGTCATGTCTTGGTCTGACCGCTCAGAACCCTCTTTCAACCTAATCGAACTTCCCCCAGTATACCGCTTCGAGGTAGGCGGTGACCCGGTATGTGCAGTACTTGTCCTAATTACCTCAGTCGACTAAGGTTCACGACCTCATTAATCGGCTTGCCTTTCTTGCGCATTACTCTTTCCCTGACCTTTACATTGCTCACATGGTGATTCCACCAAGAGCCAGCTCTGCTACGAAGACAACTGTGATCAAAACACTGTAATCACTTCATGTCTTCTACTTTTAACAGCCATGTTCCAAGGTTGTATATTACACCAAGACAGAACGGACTGCAGCACAGTATACTCATCCTTTGATAGATAGTCAAATATCTCGCCAGTCAGCGCCACAAGTGACGCAAGTTGGCAAATGCTAAATGGGCTTTCTGTATCCGAGCTGAGATTTTGTCAGCAACGAGCCCGTCCGGGCTGATTCAACTCCTCAAATGAAGTAGTCAACACATTCTACCACTCCACTTCTTATCATTAAACCAGGAGTGGTTCAGGTAAGGAATGCAAGGTAAAATGAAAATAGTATTTGGTTGGAGTCAATTAGCAGGAAGCTATGGATCTAGGTTTTGAACTTGTTGACATTCGTTAACTGAGCGTGTCCTTAACCTTGAGGTAACTAATTTCCTGTCTAAAATATTCGCACTCATTTTACTCAGTGTTGCAGTCAGAGACGTTACCACTGAGCTATTCGAGCTGCAACTGACCTTCAGCAAAGCTGCATTTTATACGTTGATTAGTAACTTGAAAGTAACTGATTTCATGTAGTTTAATTCCGAGTGCTGACCAAATTCTATCGATTACTTTGCAATTTGGTCACCAAGCTAAGAGACTCATCACTTATTTACTGAAATCTCTGATCTAGAGAATGGAAATATCAGTTCCCTTGAAGTCGCAGATATGCCTTGCTGACCAGTGCCAACAAGCACGAAACTCAGCTCCATTGCATCCTGCCGACTGCCTCTATCTAACTTATATCTGTCAACGTGCACCATGATGGTAAGTCCCCTAGCTTGTAAAATGACCGATAGAATTTGGTCAACACTCAGGCCTAGATAACATGAAATTAGCTGTTCTCCAGTAGCCAATCAGTGAAATGAAAATATTTCAAGCTTTTGCATTTTATATGAACTTAAATAGAATTATTGACTGATTGCAGAGAACTGCTAGGTAAAACGTATGCTCTAATGACTTTTCTCAGGGACGAACAGACTTTTCACAAACTGTAGTGCGCAAACTTCACCTTTCAACAGGTGAACACGGTTCTAGTTGTCAACTTTTGCTTTTACCTCATTCAGTTCGCATACATTGATGCTAAGTATCATACTATCATTTCAATGGTTTTCCCTAAGTTTTGGTGCGTGACAAGACTGTCCAGATCTTTCAAAGAAACCTAGAATCCCGGAAGTTTTCACAACCAATTTGGAAACTCCGAATTTTTGAGAAAAGACGTTTGGTTATAGGTGTACCAGATTGGTTAATATAAGATGCCATTCTAGAAAGGCTCAGAAACAGTCACGGCCGCTGTAAATACATAAAGCGTCATATTTTATACTTATTTTGGCTTTGCAATACGCCTTCTGTTGCAGTGATGTCGTCTCTGTTTCCAGAGAACTGGCAAGTGGAATCTGAACGTTAACGTTCAAACATTCGCAGGAGTATATTAGCATAAAATGCGTTATGTCGATAAGCCATGACTTCAAGTAAAAACATTGGGGAAGTGTCTTCATATCAGTTACTGTTAAGAGTTAAAACGGTATCATCGCATTAGATGCATTGGCGAAAATTTGTCAACAACTATTTCTTTGCTAGTGATCTTTCATCACGAAAGGTAAGTATAATTTCGATAGTAAAGACAATACAAAATGGGAATTTGAAGAAAAGACAGTTATTATCAATAAATTACCTGGTAACTCGGAATTGATGTTTTTGACATCCTTTTGATTAGTTGGTGTGAGTGTATAAATGAGAAGTGGTGGATACCGCATTCGAAAATCTTTCATGCCTTTGACAAGTATCCTGGGTTCCACTATTACTGTTTTTCGGCATCCCACTAAAATCACAAAAACGTTCCAAAAAAACGTAATAGATATGATCAAGCAAATATGCCAACATTGGGTAATTCAAGGATATATATATATATATATATATATATATATATATATATATATATATATATTTGTTGAGAGAGTAAAACACCTCAACTATGGGGATAACACTCTATATTTAAAGTGTCGTGGAAGAGAAACATTGAACTGCAATGACTAAACTAATCTTAATCAGTTAAACTAGATAAAACTCAAGTGTTTCAAGTGAATACTGAATAATGAATAACAGTATGCTTTACAGAGCATATTAGAGACTGTAAAGTGCGTTGGCCATACAGAGAATTGTTGAGTATTTCAAATCATAAACGACTAATAAAGAACTAAACGTGAATGCGATGGTAAAAGCAGAAGTCAGGCAAAACTTTCATACAATACTCCAATGCAAAAGAGGTTCAAGTTAACTCATTTCAATAATATAATGTAGCTGAGTAGCCATAGGTAGGTTTGTGCGCGAAACAATGAGCAACATTTACTGTGTGAAAACTGAACGATTTTTGGTAGGTAGAGTGAGGATAAAATCTGCACATCACTAGGTGAAAGTCAACTAACTGCTTAATCCAGTGGGCCTATAATTCCATAACCCCGGAAAATAACTTTCCCGTGTAGTTTGAGATATTTTATTCATCTAGTTTGGAAATCATGTCCGGAATAAATGAGATAATGTACAGCTGCTAGTTCACCTGTATCTCGGTAGTACATACATCAGTGTTACGAAGTACCAAACCCGTGAAATAGTAGGAATATGAACATCTTCCAGCACAATGGTAACCCTATTCATCTACATTTTCAAAGTTTCTTCAATATCAAACTAACACCCTTGATTTACGTTGCCTATGTACTAGCTTAATACCTATCTACTCACAATTTTAAGGTTGGTCTACATGTACGAAAATGCTATGCATACCAGCCGATCCTATCACTGCTGATAGCCATTTTCTTTTTTTTGCATCCATCTTTTTGTTTTTCAAAGTTGGATACGTTGCGTAAGCAATGACTTTACCCCTGTGTAGTATTGCCAAGTATCAAGTTGATATTCACGGACTGTATTTCGTTTCTAGCTGGCCAGGCCAAAAGGTGGCATGAATAAATGTAATGCAACTGTTGGTCTAAGTCACATACGAAATGACGGTCGAGGTTCATGCGAAAACTAAAATCGAAGGTTGAAGTAAAACAAACGACAATCTATCACAGTGGCACAGACACACCTACACCTAATCATCATTTTGACCACTGTATCACATTTTACCGTTTTCTCACTTTGATATACTGATGTGAAGCACGGAAACCAAGACGGTAACGCAAGAATGCCGGTTTACTGTTGACAATACTTGTCTATTTGCATGTGGTTCTAGTTCCTATTGCTTTTCTTCTAAGTTATTTCTTTTACTACCCCACCTTTTATCAAGGCTAATTATCACTATCCGATTGTTTCAAATTAATTTCTGTTAGGTATGAGTCCCATAGTACAGCTTTTGAGAGTGATCTTGCCAAAACGCAAGTATTGGTGCACTACGACTCATTGTGAAGATTTTCTGTTACTCAAGGATTTGATACACTTTGAAAACATTTTTTTAAACTTTCTAACCGTGCTTCGCCTTGGTTAGCAACACCTTACAAAACGAAAGACGACAGGCAATGTGTAAATCTTTATGATGCTACCTGAATAATTCAAAATATCTTTCTCCTTATAGTTGCTTCATGTGGTATACTAGTACTGAAAACAAACATGAACAACAGAGCCCAAAAACATTTTTGGCGTGATTGGTAACTGAATGCAAAATGATAAAGTAAAAGTACTGTGTGTATCCCAATACATTGACATCAAAAAATGAGCTACAAAAAATACTGAATTACCTTAAAAATGGCATCTTTCAGGATCTGTAGAGAACTATTCCTATCTAACACACAATGATCAGAATCAACTCCATTCTCATCCAATAATATTATACCACTAAATTCGCCTCGATTTTCCCAAAGTCTTTTAAATAAACTGTTCTTTTTTAAGAAATTTGAAATAGTATTGACTGTAGTTCTGAAGTTTTCAAAAGAAAGATTATATTTAATGAATAAGTAGCTTATCACAAATGATTTTACAAATAACCAACTGCCAGCAAAGATATACTGATATCCATTCATTAACCCATCACTCGAAATCCTGGATATCAGAGAAAAGGGTAGAAAACACCAAACAAATAGTACCCTATACCTTGAAGGGATGACTGCAGGTCGTATCAAGTGAAGGATGAATCTGGTATCCGATTAACAGTAAAGTGCTCATATGTAGTTGTCGCAGCGGGCAACTATAGTGCTCAATTAGGGAGGCTAGACAAGATGTGGCTTGATGAACAGATAATGGTATTCACATGCTACAACTGCGACCAGACATCCACCTATTTCTGGAAAGCGTGGACTTCAGACCAGAAGAGACACTTTTCACTTAACGGTTGAAACAGATAGATTATATTACTATCTAATATTGCTGGAAAAGGTCAGCGCAAAACTTCCCAATACTCTGGAGCATGTATTTTTGGAAAAAGATAACGCGTTAGTTTGAGCATGCCTATCTCTACACCCTTATGAACTCAAGGGAACTACGACTGCAAAACTACTATAAGCGTCAATCATCCTGAAAAAGGCTAGCGTCGTCTCCATTCTGCTGTGAAAATAGCATCCAAGACAGTAAATGACTCTCAAATAAAGGTTAAAAAAACTAGTAAGCACAGTAGCTTCTTCTGAGTTCATGGATGCACGTAGAAACGTTTTTTCAAGTTCTAAGCAGAATGAAGACAGAAAGCAGCTCAAACATACATTGACAAAATCTTTTTGTTAAAACCGTAGGCGACAATAGGCAGGAAGATTAGAGATAAGGTCAATCGCGATAGGTAACAGTAGATAGTTAAGACTGAACAAGGTAACTGGAGCAAACTGATCGATGGCTAATGAGAGCACTAAGGAGAAGGATGGGTCAGCAATTCAACAGTAGGACACATCTGGAATAATGAATGGAACAATTCGAGTAGTTCAACTGGCATCCAATTACTGGTTGCTCGCTATACAGTGGGATCCTGGATGGAACATTGAGATCGAAACTCCAACTCCCATAGGAAATGAGAAGGCTGTAAGTGACCAAAAACAAGAAAGGCTAGTAAGTCCAAATGGGCTTGCACCAGAGATATGCAACTAGAGGATTAATGGCTATATTAGATGAAAGATTAAGTAGTATCCAGGGATCAGATATCATCCTATCTGACTAGTCTCATTTGCTAATTGTTTCAGTCATTATGAAACTGAAGATATCTCCTCGTAACAATCAAAGAGGAATCAGTAGGACAAGAAAAGTGTCTGAGATTCTAGGTTCTATGGTCATTTGATATCTAATGGAGGTTAGGGAACAGCACATTCGAGAAAACCAGGTAGTTTGAAGCGGTGTGCGGACAAGATCTTCATCCTCCACTAAGTCTTGGGACAAGGTGACACTTAGCGACAACTGACACTAATTGTATTTCTTAACCTGCGGCGTCGTTCGACCCATCAATCCAGAAGTCTTTTGATAGCATTTAACACTGGAGTGGATGCACAGTAGGTACATCACCCAAGGGAGATGTATACCCCATGGTGGGGTGTCAGGTGAGCTGCATGTGTTGAATGATGTTGGTTGAGTATATCCACTCTCCCCTTTTTCGTTTAATTTTATCATACAAGTGCTTATGGAGGTCTCCTCCATCTTGTCTAATTTAACAGGAATTGATCTTGTCCAAGGAGGCTCATTAGTTGATCTATTGTACACATGACATAGTGCTTTTAATTGATGCTGACAAAACTCAGAATGTTCTTGATATTTTGGATAGCAATTTGGGAATGTTTAGGATGTTTCTCGCCATTCCAGTGCGAAATTTCGCTTCACGATTGATCCGCGTTTATTCCTCAATTACTTGTAGAAAGTAAAGTAGGTAAACGCGTTGATCACTTCATTTGTGAAGTCGGATTAGTCCTACCGGGTAAGTAACTGTCATAATCTCGTCACACATATTATAGGCTAGACCGGCTTTTTCCACCTTACGCTATCTGTAGCACCAGCATGACATCTGAGTTCTACATAAAAGAGATGTTGCAAACCTTCGTCAGTTGAGATAGCTGGGATATAGGTCACGCAAGTCTGGTCATTATCTGCTCCTAGGTATGACGTTGCTCGAAATACAGATAGATAGATATATGCCATCGGTTCATGAAGTCTCTATTTGCTGTTCTACACCGTATAAGGAAATGTAGACTTTCTAGTTGGTGTACGCGTAACAAACGAAACAGGCTACTGGATATTACAGGTGACATGCTTGGTAACCGATTGCAATGGTGCATCCACATAACCCCTCTATCTTAATCGTCAAGTCCAATTTCAGTACTTGTTCAACCTGTTCTTTTCATCTCGTGACTGTCTGTAACTTTCAATTACGTTACTTTCTCTTTGCTAGTTTTCCACCTTGTGGTCTTTTATCTTCATGTGTTGATGTTAAGTATAGTGAATGGGACCCTTAGATTGTAATGCAATGTCTTATTCTGATAATGGCTGACTGACTGGTTTCAGCAATGGCCCACCAGAAGACATACTTAGATGAATTACAACAATGAGTGCAATTTAGTATCCCCCTAAAAGTTCATGCAAACGGTCATTATATATATATATATATATATATATATATATATATATATATATATATATATATTATGGATTTGCGACTAAAGCTGGGTAAAGGATGTGACATGCTACAAAAGGCTAATCGAGCTTCTTGGATCACGCTTGGTTCATTACAGATGCAACTAATGTTTAACAAATGTTATTCTAGTATGCACGGATGAATGCTTCAAACCATTGTAGAAAATGTATCGAAAGTTTGTTTATTTCACTTACCCACGTTGTAAGAGATCACAGGGTAGGTTGATAACATTTTCAAATGCAATACAACATTGTTCGAATTCAGATTTCGTACGGACATCAATAATGAGAAAATTCTGTTGCTGTTTAATAATTGTGGCTAACTCGTTGGACTGTATCCATGATGAGCTGATTGTGGAAGGAGATTTATCTACAATAACATAGTCATACAATGCTTTATAAGTAAATTGGGTACCTGGTCCTTGATAAGTTGTTGATTCAACAGGTTTTTTCACTGCAGATAAACTTGATTGATGTAATTTTTTATATCTTGCCTGCAAATTGGCATCTAATATTTCAGCACGTTCAATGGCGCACAGTAATTCATTTTTCAGAATTATCTTTTAAAAGATCCAATAATTATAATGCATTGCAACTTACATTGCTTTTTTTATTTGTTAATTGTTTCAACTTGTCGTAGTAATCAAAGTATTTCATGAACAGTACATAGGCACGCTCTTCATCATGCTCCCAAACTTCATTAGCCTGACATTTTATTAAAGACATTTCACGCTTCAGGACTTCAGGTGCCGATGACTGGATATTAACTACTGAAAGCTTTTTCAACTCCTCCATGGAGGTGGCAAGATATAATTCTTTTTTGTTCATTTCATATATGTGACAGAAATAATCTCAAAATTAAAGCCTCTGACGATTAATGTCAGAGAAGGCGAACCTTGAAACAAGTGATACCTTCAGGATTAGAAAGAAAGGAAAGTAACGTCAAGACAATATATTGTCTTCGCCCTTATGCATTCTTATAATTATATATATTATATTTAAGCTCTCCACTGAGAATAAACTCTATAAGATGTGTAATCTAAGATGCTATTCAAAAACTCAAACCGAAATACGGAAAAGGCCTTTTAAACTTACAACTTTTTGGTTGTCTATCAAACTTCATATTTATTCGATAGCCATATTTGGAGTTGTGTAGATCCCATTAGTTCTTCTGTCGGCGAATTATGATATGGTACGGCTTCGCACAGAGTTTTTCGAGGGCCAAATAGAGATTATTGCATTATTTCTGGCCTCTCTCTCTCTCTCTCTCTCTCTCTCTCTATATATATATATATATATATATATATATATATATATATATATATATATATATATATAGTGTCGCATTACGCTGTATACACCATGGAACAAATTGTTACACTGGGTTAATTATAAGTGGTATGAACAACAACTATACTAACTAAACCGCTTCCAGCTATCTGAAAAACATTAACAAAGTCAGTGTGGACCAACAAGTGCTTTTTACAAATGCAGATCCAACACCAGCTAATATGCACACCTAAGAAACGGCAGTCATATAGGTGAAACTTTAAAGTGAAAACAGTACTTAGTTCCCCTGAGTTTCTAGATCACTGAGCATTAAAAAGATGAACGAGTTAGTGTATGAACATATGTTACTTTGGAAAATTGATAACTAACTTACCTTCAGTTATTTACAAATGCCAAAGTCTATTACGAATGAACTTCTACGAAAGCTCCATTTTCGGTTGCAATTATTATATCCAGCAGGAAATCTCGAAAAAGAAATATGTGCACATTGGTAATTCATAAGTTCCCTATTAATATTTGAAATATAAATACCCAGTTGCCTAGAATTAGTGGAATGAATTCTGTTTCTAGTATTGTTAAGTCTATATGCGATCAAAATAATACTTGGATCTCATGATAAAGGCACTCAGATTCGATTTCATAAAACTACTTGCAACTATGACTACATTGAGCATGCAAAGATAATTTTAATGAGTTCGTTCACAGCAAAATTAAATGACAAACTCAGCATACGAAAACGTAGAAGAAGGCCTTGTTGGTTGCAAGGTGACAGTGGACTGAAGCTCCTAGTGTATCGCCTAATGTAACCCCCAGGTCTTATTCCACGTTACAGTGACGGACATTTATTTCACTCGGAGAGTTAGAAGTGAGATCATCCTTATATTTGCTAACTGTCACCATCCTACACTTCTTTGACCTGAGAGGGGGCAGGTTTTCTGTGGTCCAGCTTAGGATTTTCGTAAGGCCTTCCTGGACAACCAAAATATCCGTTAGCAGATGTACTTCCCTCCAAATCTTCAGATCAACAGACTATAATAGTGCGTGAGAATTAAGGTATCCTGGTAGGTCGCTGATGATTCACAATGGAAGGCTCAGTGACGCCTTTGAAGTGAAGACAGGAGTAAGACAAGGCTGCCGCCTATCACCGATGATCTTCCTGATTGTGGCCGACTGGATCGTGCAACAAACTGTGAGGAGCGGGAATATGGGCATACGCTAGCTGGACCGATGAAAAGACCCTTGAAGATTTGGATTTCGCAGCCGAGGATGATTTATGTCTGATGTCTTGCTGCACAAACTCGGAGATCTACAGGCAAAAACCAACAAGTTGACAGAAGAGGAGAGATGATGAAGATACTCAAACAACAACAAGCATCAATCATTATGAACGGGAGAAACCTAAAGGAAGTAGTCGCTTTCACCTATCTACTTAAGCAGTATCCTTCCAACTACAGGAGGCACAGGCATAGATGAGGACGTCAAAGCAGCCAGGATCAGAAAACCAAGACAGACCTTCATTGATCTGAAATCAGCGTGGCGATCTACCGCACTCAGCATAAAGAACAAGTTCCAGATTTTCAACACCAACTTCAAGTCAGTGACGCGTTACGAAAAGCAGTTTCAACAAGCTACAGACATCCATCAACAGCTGCCACCTACGCTCGTTCGATACTGAAGAGTAGATGGCCAGAAAGAATGAAGCAACAAAAAACTGGCTGGCTGGCAATGAACCAACCAAGAACCCATCGCTCAACAAATATGCAGAAGAAGAAAGTGGAGATGGATTGGACTGGACTGGACATACACTGAGGAGACCATTTGGGGATACCACGCACCAGGTCAGGCCACGCCCTCGAGTGAAACCCTAAGGGGGAAAGACAAGTTGGGCGTCCGGGGCGAGGGTGATATGGATGAGATCGTGTGAGGAAGAAATGAAAGCTTCTGGGCAGTGGTGGGGCAAGGTTCAAAAGATTGCAGAGAACAGAGTGAAATGGCGACGTGCTACTGAAGCTCTATGTTCCACTAGGAACCCACGGGGAAATAATATTATTAATCACAATAATAATGAGCATTTCATTTCTGTGTGACAGTTTCAATTGACCTTTTTTGAGGATGTTTTAAAACTGGCTGATTTATCCTGTGCTTCGAAACATGCTAGTATTTTTGTTGACGCACACGTAAGGCTTCAAAAGAACTAAACTCTTAACAAGAGTAAAGACGGCTGCAATTTAACGAGAAGTACGGTCGACCGTAGGGTTGTATAATTAATGAGGTGATAATGTAATCGTTGGGTAAGTTTCTTTGGGCATGATGGATAGGTATCCAATAATGTAGAGCACAACAAGTGGTTTGGGGAGAGCTATTTGAAAGTCAGTTAGTAACGAATACGTGATGTTAGACAATGGTTAGTTGTCTTATTTCACTAAATGGACGGGAAAAAGAACCTTGGTTGGAAATTCTCAAGACTAAAGTAAATATTAGCTAAACATTTAAAGGGATAACTCATCTACAGCAGACATAACAGATGCATGCTATGTGGAAGGACGTAACCTGATAACTATCATATGTCAATTCTAAACATAACTTTATGTAACGCATTCGAAATCCTACTCATTTACCTCCCGGTTTCGATTTCTAAACTGTCTCACCTCTTCTCCGTCAAACTCTACCGTTCTTCAGATATCTTTTATTACTAAATGTAAGTAGATCTTGCGTAATTGCTGAGTCGTCAGTCCACCTTTTTCTCTTCCTCTTTTCTCGTAGTCTTGTAGTCACCACCAAGCACTGCTCTGCGCGCCCCCTGCAACGACGTACGTACAAGCTACACAAGAACATATCAACAACCGGTTGTTGCACTTACTTTCTGGCTTCATTTTCAAACTCCAACTAGCCAAACCAGTGGAAGTCTCAATTTACACCGATAAGATTACGAGTGAACAGTGTAAAAATTAAGGATGTTTTAAAAAGCTCAACATTATACTATTGTCTACGATGCAAAAATAAACCAAATAATTATTTAGGTGTCCGAAACAGTAAAGATGTGCAGAATGAGTCAGCTATGGTAGGAGAGACTCTTAAAAACGTACCGATAAACTTCACTCAAAAAACGGTCATGACATTCCTAAGAAATAAGGAGTCACGCTGCCTACAGATTATTTAGACGGTATAGATAACATTTTCAACAAACTCGATACAGATCTAAATGCAATAATAAATATATTCATGAAGGTCTTCTTCACTAACCACCAACGGTAAGGTGATGACCAAACGAAAAAGACCTCGCTTAGTACCGTAACGAAGTTAAGCGCACTTCGCGGTTAAACTTCAAACTTCGTGTTGTTGAATTAGTGAACGATAGTTCCTTGAGTTCTACATCTGTCTTAGTGGAGTACTTTCTGTGTTTGGAATAGTCACAATTGTTAGTACAGTTTCGAAAAACCTGATAGGATAGAGATAGTGGATTGTAACCTATTTGGACTCAAGGTACTGTTACCCCTTCTGAATTGTAGACGGCGGAAAGCTTCTGGAGTACAGTCTGTCGGTAACACAGAACTTAAGGTATTTATCTAACGTCCTTTTGAAAGTATAAGTGGTTGGGGCTTTGACGACTTCTGCATGAAGGGGGTTTCGTAGTTTAAAAAACTCTAATCGGAAAGGAGTTAGCACGGATCGTTGTACGTGCTATGTCGTGCTCTATTATTAGATTCAGATCCAAATTTGTTGTTTGAGGAAAGAAGGCTGTGAACTTATGTCAGTCCTTTTCCAGTAGATTTCTGTGATTGTTTAACCCCTTTTTGAATGAGTCAATTGGTGATGCGGACACCACTTCTTCTGGGAGTCGGTTCCAGGCGTTGATTACTCGACGCGAGAACAGGTACTCTGCGGAGACTATGTTCGTTCTTTGCTTTCGTGGCTTCGCCTTTTAAGTTCTCTGTGAACCTTGTTTCACAGAGAGCCCTTATGCTAGGACCATACTCATCAACTAATCGCCTTAACTTCAGTGTCTCGGTGCACAGCCCATGCACATTGTTGTCAATTCGGCCAATGAGGGCTCGAAAGCCAGAAGTCCCTGAAGCATATTGGGTTAAGAACGTGTTGCAGGCATTTAAAAGACCGGCTTTAAGGAGATTTTACAGATGGGAGAATGGAACTAAGGGTGTCTACATCTACCAATCTGCAGGATTATTCGATCCGGAAGAAGATCAATAAAAACTCTTGCTCATCATCCGATCTCTCGGTCGTTAATTGTGAACTGGCCAACAGCCAGCACCCGGGTCGCCCATCAGCCTGCCTTTGTCTCCTTGGTTTGCACACGCTTATCATAATTTCTCAAGAGACTGAACCATATTTATTATATTACCACTCCAGAGTAGTTCTGACCATGTGCGGAGAATCCAGGGGTTACTTGGAGCAACCTGGGAGTATGATGTTCGAGAGGTGAACTGGCATTGGAAGACGGTAAATCTTTTTGGCCCTTACATCGGCTTGGAGTCTGTCAGCTAAATATCTCCACCGATTCATGCCATGGATAAGTTCAG